TTTGCTTGAGCGGGTGCCAGTCACGTCTCCATTCATCCGTCACATGCTAGCGTAGCCCAATGGCATCTGCTCATTCTAGGAACATGAAGAGCCTCAAACTGATCGTTCAGGGTCTTGACGAAGAAGTCTGACCATCTCGTAGGTGGGCGGCCACATGGTCTTTTGATGTCCCGGGGAATGCAGTCGGTAACGGCTCTAGTCCAGGTCATCTCCAAATTTCATTATGTGTCCAGCCCATCTGATTGATTTTCGACACCTTGGCAAACCAGACAGCATCCCTGATTCTTGACCATCAAGGAGGTAGGAACTCTGGATTCTTTCTCTCATTTGAGTGAAACGTGATACTCCAAGCATAGCTCTTTCGATTCCTCTTTGGGAAACCCGAATAGCGTTCTCATCCTGTTTTCCTAGGGCCCAGGTCTCTGAGGTGCATGTTAATGCAGGAAGAACAGTGGATTCGAAGAGATGTGCCCAGAGCTGGAGGTTATTTGTTGTCTTAGCTATTTCTTCAAAGCTCTTGAAGGCTTTCCAAGCTGCTCTCTTCCTGCTGTGCAACTCAGGTGCCAGGTCATTTGTCATGTTGACTTGTCGACCTAGATACACATAACTGTTGCATTCAGAGATGGTTGTTCCATTGAGAGCGAACGGAGCATTGGGAACGAGACTGTTTCTCATAAACATTGTCTTCGTGAGATTCACCTGGAGTCCAACCTTTCCACACTCATGGTCAAAGTCGGCCAGCAATTGTGCCGCTTGGCTAATGTTTGGTGTTATTAGAACGATGTCATCAGCAAAGCAGAGGTGGTATAGTTGCCGACCATCTATCTTCATTCCCATTCCTTCCCATTCCAGTCATCGCATGATGTTCTCAGGGGTGACACTGAAGAGTTTCGGTGAAATGGTATCACCCTGACAAAATCCTCTCTTGACATCAGTGATCACTTCTTTGTAGAATGGTAAGATCCTGGTAGTGAATCTGTAATACATCTCATGGAGGATCCTGAAGTATTGAGTTTGAATGCCCTGATTGGCTAGGGCTTCAATGAGAGCTTCTGTCTCAACAGAATCAAAGGCCTTCTTTAAATCAATGAACATCAGACAGAGCGGCATCTTGAACTCCCGACAAACCTCAATGACCTTGGTTATCATGTGGATATGGTTGATCATGCTGAATTCTTTTCGGAACCTGGCTTGCTCGCATGGTTGTCCTTCATCTAGTGTACTGACAATTCTATTCAGAATGACTCGACTGAACAGCTTGTAGATGACAGACAACAGGCAGATCGGGCGATAGTTGCCAATGTCATGGATGTTTCCCTTCTTGTACAGTAGTACAGTCCTGCTGGTTTTCCATTGGGACAGAACCTTGCATTCAGACAGGTAGTGTGTGAAGAGCTGAGCCAGTGTATTAATGAGAACTGACGGCAGGTTCTTCGGGTGTTTGGGTCTGACCTTGCCTGGGCCAGGTGCTGTTCATTTCTTTACCGACAAAATGGCGTGTCGGATTTCGGAAGGGAGAACATTGGGAATGACATATCCATCCTGCAGAATTTGGCATGTGGGCAGGTGGACATGGCTGTCAAAGAGATCTGAGTAGAAGTCATGGATAATCTTCTCCATTGCCCTTCTGGAAGATGTAATAGATCCATCAGGACGTTGGAGGGCAGTCATCTTGGTCTTGCAGTTGGCGAAGGACAGGCGAGCATTGTGAATGCTTTTCCTGGCTTCTGCCACATCTACCAGCACTGCTGCTCTTCTCTCTTTGAGGTCTTCCTTTATTGCTTCTCTGCACTGCTTTCTGAGCTTGGACATTCGCTTGCGGTTGCCTGAGGCATGCACCAAGCCACGTTGGTAAATAAGCTCAAGAGTTTTTGAAGGCAGGTGTTTTTGTTGTTGTTGTTGTTGTTTTGTGTGTGTGTGTGTGTCTAACTCTCTTGGCATTTCTCGCACAATCATGGAGGTGCTGAACCAGTCAATCGTATTCCGCATCAATGTTGTCAACGATGGTATCTTCCCATGTTGCAGCAATAGTGCCAAAGAGCTCCCAGTTGGTGGTTGTTCTGGGAGTTCTTTTCTTAAACTTTGCCACCCTTTCTCCCCGCTCTGTGAAGTAGAATTTTGCATGAAGGAGACGGTGGTCCGAATCCATTTGGAATTTTGGGACAACAGCGACACTCAGTCAGGCAAAACTGTTGATTGAATATGATGTGGTCTATTTCGTTGTGGAACTGTCCACGGGGAGACTCCCATGTCCAACACTTAGATTCGCCTTCTGGAACTGTGAGTTACAATGGATGGTCTTGGTCGATATGATTAACTCAGACAGTCTCTCACCCTGTTTGTTCCATTCTAGGCCATGGGTCCCGATGTGGAGTTCTTCGACTGATCTTCTTGGTCCTATCTTGGCATTAAAATCACCAACAATGATCTTGTAGAATGTGTGGTCTTCTTTATAGAACTTCTCCAGCTCCATGTAGAACTTCTCAATTTCTCCTTCATTATAATTGGATGTTGGTGCGTAGACAACGAAGATAGAAACTGCAGGCAGTGAGCCACATCTATTTCTACTTTCACTAAAATTTTTATGACATTGCTTAAAATATTTCTGATGATTCTGGTAAGAATTTCAAAATATTATTATCTTCAAAAACAAATTAACAAAGACTATTACAAACTGACAACCCAGGATTTCAGCTAAATCAACTAACCCCACACCCACACACTCTCCAATATTGATCAGAGAATATTTACTGCAAAAACAATTCTAATCCTCTCTTTCATTAGTATACTTTCTAACATTTGCTCATACCAAAGCTAAACAACCAGTTACAGAGAAATGACTCAACTTAAAACCTCAAGCAATCTTCTAATAGGCACTGCAGATGAGATCATCATTTTGTGATAACAGAAAGTAGTCGTTTATAAACTTTGAAATTTCCATGTTTATTCCCTTAATCTGGATGCAAATTGCAACCCTTAACTAGCCCAAAGTTTACTAAACGGTACTTTTATTCAAACATTTCTACCCAATGATGCACGTGCTGCTAAAGTATAGCTACAATATACAGAACAGCCCATGCTGTCTTTTTTTTTTTTTGCTTTTTTTTGGGGGGGAGGTGGGGGGTCACACCTGGCAATGCTCAGGGGTTACTTCTGGCTCTGCACTCAGGAATCACTCCTGGCGGTGCTCAGAGGACCATATGGGATGCTAAAATTGAACTCGGATCAGCCAAGTGCAAGGCAAACACCTTACCCACTGTGCTATTGCTCCAACCCCAAGTAAATGCTTTTTAAAAATCTAAGTAAATTACATTCTTGGCACTCCTAGTACACACATGAATGTTACCCATCAATAAAAATGGTGATTATTGTTTATTCTCTAAAAAATTTCAAGTACTGTTCTAAGCTGTTTATGCTATCTTAATCCTTTCAAAACTCTCAGATGTAGCTATTCTTTTTAATTTACATATATGAAAAACTGAGGCTAAGAAAATGTAGTTAGATTACATATAAAGGTAAAAGAGAAAATTCATATCCAGGTTTGTCAAAAGTAGTATATTAGTCATAATTATCTCTATACATAAAAAGAAATATTACTTTTCCCAGATAACAATGAATTAAGTATTATTACTCTGTGTGAAAGTCAGATCTCCTAATACATAGTTTTCATCGCTCTCAGCCTATGGCCAAGTTACAAGAAAATATATTCTTGAACATATTTTTGTAATCCTAAGCCTTCTAATGTGAAAAAGTGCGTGCAGAGAAAGCAAAGCAAAGGCAAGCACAAGGATATATACTACTTGAGAGAAAGTAATATAGAAACCAAATAAGAACTATACATTGTTGGAAAAAAGACTGAAGGAGAGAAATTGACTGGCTATCATTTGCTCTAGAGATCCTTGAACAACAATGTAGGAGAAGAAAGAATAAACAAGGGCCACTGAGTAAGATCTTATCCATTTTCCATTGGATAGCTTATTGTGCTAAATAAAACCCTTTTATAAAATGCTTAGAGAGTTACACCTATTGTTTCCTTATATCTTACTGCATTACTATAATTAGATTATCTAAATTTATAATTTAAATAAATTTTTCACACTGAGGTTTCAGTTGTGTATTTTTATTGAAGTATGGAACACCTTGGAGTTAAAAAAAAATCTCTGAACAGTGTAAGGACAGAATGTCTGAGAAAGGTGAATGTGCAGACACTAGGGAAGGAAAGGGTTAGGGAAAGGAAATGATAAAATACATTTTCCCACAGAAAAGTAAGACGTTATGATTCAACAATCTCAAAGTTTCCTTTCCGCTCTATAATTCTATGAGGGCTGTTATGCAAAAAATGAATGTTTTACATACCAATCACAATATGGTATATTTTCCCTCCTGCACTCAACGATTAAAGTCAAAGAGCAACTTTTTCTACGTCAACAATACAAAAGAGAACTACCAAAACTAGTTCCTGAGAACAAAAAAAATCAAAAGGAGAAATCATAGGAAATGTCTTTCTAATAAATAAACACAGCCTACAATATCTTTACTATCAATGTTGGATCACTGCATGAAACAGGTCTCTCTAAAAACTGATTTTTGGAATAATTCAGAAAACTCTCTTCAGAAGCCCCGTCAAAAGAACCTTCCCTGGTCGCTGAAAGGAGAGGAGTGAAAACTTTCCCCACCAGCCTCACAGCGTTGCCTCCCCGGTGCACTGTTGCAGGGTCCTGGGCGCCCGCCCACTAGTCACCTTATTCTTTTCCTTTCAACCTCTGCAGCACCCACCAGTACCGTCTTTCTCCACTGCCACTCCAGCAAATCGGCATAGTTGTTTTTTTTTTTCCTGCCTGTTGGCCTCGCCAAAAACTCCCCCTTAAGGCTTTAATCCAAAACTACCTCCTTCGAGAGAGTCGGCGAGCGCCCACCCGCCCTGTTCTCCAGAGCGGCTGTATTCCTCACACTCCGAAGTCGGGGTCTCCCTTCCATCCCCCAGGAGCTTCCCCACTCACAGCGCACGGTGTGGAAGGCGCAACGCGGCTGCCTCTGGAAACTGTCACCCAACTTGAGAACGCGCTCGCGGCTGTCTATGTGCCAGCGCCCTAGCGGTCCATTCATCGTTCCCCTCGGACAGGGCTGTGCCCGAGGCAGCGACACGCCGCTCCAGCCGCCACCTCAGACTCCGTCGGAGCCGCTCTCGGCATCCTCCGGCAAAGAACCCGCCGGACCCGCCCAGTGCGGCTGCGCGCGGCACCTTCGGGCGCCTCGCGACCGGCGATTGGCTGTCCGGGGCATTACGCCCCACCCCCTGCCGGGGAATCTGGTCCCGCCTTCGGGCCTCGGCGGCCCCGGGACGCGCGCCGCCGGGCCAGGCCGCGCCATCTGAGGTGAGCTGTGGGACCCGGGTCTGGGGTGGAGGAAGGCGAGAGCGAAGATGGAGTAACGGACCCGGCGGGGCCGCTGGGAAGGCGAGGGCCGGCTCCCGGCCTCACGCTTCTGGCCCCGCTGACATCTCCTCAGGGCTCTCCAGCCAGGCGCGACCTGCTCCTCCCCCTTTCCGAGGGAGCTGCTGTGGAAACTGAGGTCGGGGGAGGGGTGGAGCGTAGGCCCCGAGGCCTGGGTTCTTGCCCAGGGTCTGGGGGCACCACATCTGGATCTAGAACCCCGTGACGTCCCCACGGCCTCGGGGAAGAGACTCGGTCCTTGGAGCTGACTGGGGGCGAGGCCAGTTACCTCAGCTCCTTTTCTGACCTCGGACCCCGGGAAGCTGCGGGAGACGCTGCCGAGTTCGGAAGCCGGGATGTCCGGAGGCGAGAGCGGCAGGTTCTAGTTGAGGGACTGCGAGTGCTGAGGTTCCCCTCCAAGGGGGTGTCCCGGTGTTCCTTTCCGTCGTGGTGGTCCCTGAGCAGTGGCACTGCCCGCCGGGCGCAGCGAAGAGCAAAGCCAGAGACTAGGCTCTGGTCACTATGTAATAGAGGCAAAAAAAAATATTAATGATTTTTTAAAAAATATTTTTTGACGTTTGGAATTCATGAGTTCTTTGTAAAGATGAGCATAGTGCTTGCCCATGGAGAAGCACACGGGAGAAAGTTTACAGTGGTTTCCCGGAGCAGGTGTTGTCTTTAGGTGAAATTGTGTATTCCAGCTCCTTCAGCTTCTATTTTAGCCCTCAACCGAAGTTGAGCATTGGTTGTGCCAGACAGGTAAAGGCGTACTTCCTGCAGCTTAGCTGCGTGTGTACGTTCTGCTCTTGTAAGGCCTGCTTGACTGTATGCAAGTTAAAAGCTGTTCTGGAGTCGAAACTCTTCTCTCTCTCGCTCTCTCGCTCTCTCGCGCTCTCTCTCTCTCTCTCTCTCTCTCTGTCTCTCCTCTCTCTCCTCTCTTCCTCTCTCTCATCCTCCCCCTCCCTCTCTCTCTCCCTCCCCCTCTCTCTCCCTCCCCCTCTCTGTCCCTCCCTCCTCTGTCTCTGTCTCTCTCTCCCTTCCTCCCCTCCCCTTCCCTCCCTCCTCCTCCCTCCTCTCCCTCTCTCTCCCCCCTCCATCTCTCCCTCTTCCCCTCCTCCTCTCTCTCCCCCCTCCATCTCTCCCTCTTCCCCTCCTCCCCCCTCCATCTCTCTCTCTCCTCCTCCCCCTCCCCCTCCCTTAAGTACAAACTTAAGTTAAATATGTTTGCTCATTGTTAAAATTGTCAAATAATTAATAGTACTTATTACCTAACAGTTAATTATTGGAGAATTAAATGGCTTAACAGCGGGTAGGGTGTTTGCCTTACAAGCGGCCAACATGGCCGACCCGAGTTCGATTCCTCCGCCCCTCTCGGAGAGCCCAGCAAGCTACCGAGAGTATTCGATATGCCAGACACAGTAACAACAAGGTCTCCAATGGAGACGTTACTGGGCCCGCTCGAGCAAATAGTAAAAGTGTTTTTTTTTTTGTTTAATCACATAAAATGTTTATTTTACACATTGTAAAAGTTTTAGGACCGTTCTTGGTGGCTACCTTCTATATCTTGAATTATTTAGGAGTTAGAAGTTGCTATTTTTCCACCTTTATAATTAAGAAAGCTGATTTAGGAAAGTCCCGTCCTCTGGCACTATAGTTGGTATTCTCTTCTTCTTCTTCTTCTTTTTTTTTTTTTTGACTTTGGGAGAGCCACATCTGCAGTACTCAGGAGATCACTTTGGGCATTACTGAAGAACCATATATTTTGTTGGGGATTCAACTGGGGTCAGCTGTGTACAAATCAAGTGCCTTAACCCCTGTGCTCTCTCTCCAACCTTATTGTCTGTAACTATTTGACACTTGACATGTTTTGTATAATTTATTTTCTGTGTATATGTATATAATACATATATTAGTGTGTGTATGTGGAGATATGGACATACACACAAATATATAGCATATACATATAGTATATATACATGCTATATATGTGTACACATACGTATATACTATATACTATATACTGTACACATCTTTCCCAGCCATAACATGAACCTTGTGTCTTAACATGGTGTCCTTGTCCTACATATATCTTGGATGATGTTTTAATGTTTCAGTGATGTCATGTTAGATGGGCACTCGGAACAGCGTTTTAGTCTATTTTATATTTAAAAAGCTTCTGACCAGAAATCTGAGATATCTGTTTAGGAAAATGTAGAAAAGCAGAAAGTCAAGCAGTTGAATTTTGTAACGCCCCAAACTTGTGCATTATTCATTCCTTCAGCATATATTTAAGTATGAACTATGTGTGAAACTGTATTCTAACCTATGAGACTACAACAGTGACTCAGAAAACAGAAACCAAGAATGATATGAACTTTTCCCTCATAAAGCTTACCCTCTAGTACATATTTTCTCCAAACATATACCAAAATGGACTATGTTGTATTAGATTAGTAATAAATAGCTAAACAGAATTGTAAAAGTATCTCCAAGTGGCTTTTCAAATTGGTTTTGTTGTTTATGACAAATTATCTCAGACTAATTTATCACAGTGCTTTATACTTTTTTAAATCAACTTCTAACATCACTTAATTAAAATTTTCCTATCATATCTTACACAGACATAAAAACAATTATGTGCCGAAGATCAAAGTAAATAGAGGATGTAAGTAAAATCAGCAAAACTTATTAAAATGTTAGAGCAGGCTGAAGACAGAGCACTTACCATGCATATGGCTGACACAGGTTTGATCCCTGCCATCCCATGTGGTTCCCAAAGTATCACCAGGAGTAATCCTTGAGTGCAAAGGTAGGAGTAACCCTGGGTGTGGCCCCGAAACCAAAACGGAAAAAAAACAATTTAGGAGAGTGTATATATATATACACATATATATATACATACACACATATATATGTATATACATACACAAAAGACAGAAAACATTGCTATATTTGACTGCAGTAAAATTGCAAAACAGGTAGAGACTCCATAACCAAAATTTTTAAAATTATATATAAGAAAAATTATAAGTAATACAAAAGATAGAGAGCTAATATCTATATGAGAAACAGTTTTTCTATGGGGCTGGAGCGATAGCACAGCGGTAGGGCGTTTGCCTTGCACGCAGCCAACATGGCTGACCCAAATTCGATTCCTCCGCCCCTCTCGGAGAGCCCAGCAAGCTACCGAGAGTATCTCGCCCGCACGGCAGAGCCTGGCAAGCTCCCCGTGACGTATTCGATATGCCAGACACAGTAACAACAAAGTCTCCAATGGAGACGTTACTGGGCCTGCTCGAGCAAATCGATGAACAATGGAAGACAGTGACAGTGACAGTTTTTCTATAGTTACTTTCTAAATTCCTTATCTGAGAGGTTATATAGCTCATTATTTCTAGTTAGCATTTCCCAGGCTACCATCATCACTCACACAGTGTTGGGTTGGGTTCTGCATTAATTTCCCTTTGTGACATTTGCAGTTGGACTTGTTTCTTGTGAGGTTTTGTGCGTCTAGGATGTCTTTATATGCTCTCCATGAATTCTGGAGAGGAGAAGAAATATGTGGCTGCTAAGCTCCAACCTATGGCATGCTCTTCCAGGGCAGGGATAATACTGACCTGGGGGGAGCAGGGGCAAGATGGCAGTCCTGAATACCAAGGTGACCTCCATTTCAGCTGCTACTGCTGGGCTCACCTCAGTGTCCTGGACACTGAGTGTCTATCTTTGACAATTATTTGGTAATTATGGATAAGTTTTTATTTATATTGAGATTGTTTCAGGTCTTAACAATATTTTAGAGCTTTGGTCTATGCGTCTGTTTATCTTAAATATAGGTGATATGAAAAATGAAGCCAATAAGCACAGACCCAAGAATCTTATCTCTAGCAGCTGAAGTGGCAAAAAGCCCTGAGCAAAATGTCCCGGTTATATTGTTGAAGTTAAAAGGTAAGAGAATATTTATGATTGTTTTATTCTAATTGAGTATCAAAATAATTCATTGTTGGCACAGTTTTAACGTTTTAGTTTGTTCAGGGAAGTCTTTACATTGTCATAGCAATGATTCTTTTCCTTTTTAATATATGAATAATTAGCTTTCATTTTGTTTTATTGTTTGGTTTTTGGGCCAAACCTGCAATTTTCAGGACTAACTCCTGGCTGTGTACACAGGGATTACTCTGATGGAGATTGGGAGATTATATGAGATGCCAGAGATTGAACCTGGGTCAGCCATGTGCAGGTTAAGCACCCTACCCACTTGCACTATCTCTCACACCCAATGGTTAGCTTTTAAAAATACAAATGAGATTCAGATTTATTGAACAAAACTAAGAAATCTTATTTTCTTTTGCCCTAGAAATAATAAACAATACACCTTTAGGAAGTTCAGAGTTGAAGAAAATAAAACAAGATATATATTGTTATGACCTCATTCAGTATTGCCTCTTGGTCCTCAGTCAAGATTGTTCTCGAATCCAGGGTGGTTGGACTACAATTTCCCAGCTTACACAGATATTAAGGTAAAAATCAAGCTGTATGTCAACTTGTTCTTTAAGAATGTAGCAGGTGATTCTTCTAATCTAAGCTTATTTTTGTTGCTTAGTAAAAAACATTGGCAACCTCCAGTGCTAAATTTTGGTTATACCTTTCCCTTGTATCTTATTGTTCATAAATGTATATTTGTAAAGTTTGGTCGAAAATCTCCTTCCATTAGCTATTCTTTTTAATTTTCAATACTATGATTTATAGTACTGTTGATAATAAAAGTTTCCTGCAGTACCACCAGTGTCACCCCCTCACCAAGTCCATAAGTTCTTTGAAGATGGTGCTTATATTTGGTAGCACCACTGAATCCCATAAGTCTAGTTGGCTTAGTAACTAAGAAATATTTAAAAACAATAAAGATATCATGAGGTACAGTTGCAGACTTACAAATTTTTGTGCTTGTGTTTCAATTATACAATGATCAAATACCCATCCCTCCACCAGTGCCCATTTCCCACCACCACGGATCCCAGTATCCCCCCCACCCCCCCATCTCCCCCAGCCCACCCTACCTCTGTGGCAGGGCATTCCCTTTTGTTCTCTCTCTCTTATTGAGTGTTGTGGTTTGCAAAAGAGGCAATGGGTAACAATCACTAATAAAATAAAGAAAGAAAGAAAGAAAGAAAGAAAAAAAGAAAGAAAGAAAGAAAGTGTTAATCCTTTAAGACAGAATTGAGACAGTTCTTTCCTTCTTGAAAGGAGGGGTACAGTGATAGAAAACACCCAGCAGATGATTAACTGCTTTGATTTGAAAGAATGAAAAGGAGAGATATGAAAACTGGGTCACATTCACCACGGTTTCAGCAAGAGTGGACAATGCTTTTCAATTAAATACAGTGACCTTTCCCCTGAGGAACTTACAAAGACTCTTCCAATCTTGAACCAAGTTCAATATATTTTTCCCCCTGAAATGTTATAGCTAAGAGTGCTTTTGTTCAAGTCTATCATGTTTGGAAAGATCAAAGTATGAAGTATTAGCCTATGAGGAAACTTCAGTAACTCGCTACATTCTGAAGTCAGACCAGCTCACTGTCTGCTGGAAATAAACATGATAAAATTGTTGTAGAAAAACAAAAACAAAAACAATAAAGATATTAAGGTGCTTAATTTGAATTAGCAGAATTTACCATAGGTATAGGGTTGACTGTCATGTGAATTTATCATACTAGACAGTATGCAGTAAGTTATGAAATGAAAGGCATAAGTCCTATAGGAGATCAAATATAGAACTATTATTTTTGTAATGGTTTAGCTATAGTAACTATTTTATTAGGTATTAGCATCCTATCAGTAAAATTTATAAATAGCTTTTACTGATATGTTCAAAATCATTTGCGAGATCAAACCTTTTATTTTATTTTAATTTTTTATTGTTTTGTATTTTTTTATTGAATCACTGTGAGATAGACCTTCACAAAACTGTTCACGATTAGATTTCAGTAATACAGTGTTCCAACACTCATCTCACCATCTCTCCACCTGTGTACATTTCCCACCACCAATGTCCCCAGTTTCCTTTCCATCACCCCCCACCCCGCCAATCTGCCTCTATGGTAGGCATTTCTTTCTCTCTCTCTCTCTCTCTCTCTCTCTCTCCTCCTTCCCCCCCTCCCCCTCTTTCTTGTTTCTTTCTCTTTCTCTCTCCCTCCCTCCCTCTGCTTTTGGGCATTGTGGTTTGCAATGCAGATACTAAAAGTTTATTAGGAACATCCCTTTATCTACTTTTAACACTCAGTTCTTGTCCAGCATGATAATACCCAGCTATTATTGTCATACTGTTCTCTTCTCTATCTTACTTACCCTCCATCCCACACATACTTGTGGTTGATTCCAACCACTGGCCATTCTTCCTAGCCCCTGTTTTCCGAGGTCATGGATGTTAGTCTTCTATTATATACTTTTTATATCCCACAAATGAATGCAGTCTTCTACATCTGTTCCTCTCCTTCTGATTTATTTCACTCAACATGATACTGTCCATGTCCATTCATTTATAGTCAAATACCATGACTTCATTTTTTCCTAACAGCTGCATAGTATTCCATTGTGTAGATGTGCCATAGTTTCTTTATCCATTGGGCTTTTCTCAGGAACTCAGATATTAACCCCTTGTTTCCAGATTCTGGCTATTGTGAATAGTGCTGCAATGAACATAAGAATGCAGATGGTGTTTCTGCTGTGTGTTTTTGGGCCCCCCGGGTATATTCCCAAAAGTGGTATTGAGGGATCAAGTGGGAGCTCAATTTCTAGTCTTTTGAGGAATATCCATATTTTTTTCCCAAAAGGCTGGGCCAGTCAGCATTCCCGCCAGCAATGAAGGAGAGTTCCTTTCTCCCCACATCCAAAACAGTACTGGTTGTTCTTGTTCTTTTTGATGTGCTCCAGTGTCTATGGTGTGAGATGATACCTCATTGTTGTTTTGATCTGTATCTCCCTGATGATTAGTGATGTAGAGCATATTTTGGCCATTCACATCTCTTCTTTGAGAAAGTTTCTGTTTCTTCTCCCCATTTTTTGATGGGGTTGGGTATTTTTTCTTGTAGAGTTTTACCAGTGCCTTGTATATCTTTGATATTAACCCCTTATCAGAAGGGTATTGGGTAAATAACCTTTGCCATTCAGTGGACTCTCCCTATATTTTGGTCAGTGTTTCTTTTGAGGTGCAGAAGCTTTATAGTTTAATGTAGTCCCATTTGTCTGTGTATGTTTCCAGTTGCTTGGTCTGTGGCATTTCATCTTTGAAGATACCTTTAGCTTAAATATCATGGAAGGTTTTGCTTATATTTTCTTCCATGTACCTTATGCATTTGGGTCTGATGTTAAGGTCTTTAATCCATTTTCATCTGAGTTTTGTGCATGGCATAATATAGAGGTCTGCATCCATTTTTTTTTTTGCATGTAGCTGTCTTGTTTTGCCAGGACCACTTGTTAAAGAGGCTTTCCGAATTGCTCCAGTTCATATTTCTTGCTCCCTTATCAAAGATGAAATGATCGTATATTTGAAGGTGTGTTTCAGGATATTCAACCCCATTCCATTGGTATGCAGGTATGTCTTTATTCCAGTACCATGCTGTTTTAATGACTACTACTTTGTAGTACAGTTTGAAGCTGGGGAAGATGATGCTTCCCATCTTCTTTTTTCCAAGAATTGCTTTAACTATTCATAGGGGTTACTTTTCCATATGAATTTTAGGAATGTTTCATCAGTTTCTTTGAAAAATGTCATGGGTATTCTTATAGGGACAGCATTGAATCTACATAATGCTTTGGGGAGTACTGCCAGTTTGACAATGTTAATTCTCTGAATCCATCAGCAGGGACTGTGTCTCCATTTCCTTATGTCTTCTTTTATTTCTTGAAGTACCATTTTGTAGTTTTCTTTGTATAGGTCCTTTACATCCTTAGTTAAGCTGATTCTGAAGTACTTGAATTTTTGAGGCATGACTGAGCAAAGTTGTTTTCTTCATATCATTTTCTTCTCTTTCTTGCTTTCATATCAAAAGCCATGGACTTTTGAGTATTGATTTTGTAACCTGTCACTTTACTATACAAATCTATTGTTTGTAGGATCTTCTTTTTTTTTTATTAGTGAAACACCATGTGGTACAGTTGTTGACCTTACAAGTTTTTGTGCTTGGGTTTCAGTTATACAGTGATCAAGTACCCATCCCTCCACCAGTGCCCATTCTACACCCCCAATGATCCCAGTAACCCTCCCTCCCCTTCCATCCCCCACATCCCATCCTGCCTCTGTGGCAGGGCATTCCCTTTTGTTCTCTGTCTCCTTTTGGTTGCTGAGATTTCAAAAGAGGTATTCAGTGACAATCATGTTCAGTCTATAGTCTACTTTCAGCATGCATCTCCCATCCTGGGAGGATCCTCCCTACACCCTTTACTTAGTGTTCCCTTCTTTTTCTGACCTGCCCTTTCCCCTAGCATGTGCAGCTAGCCTTCAAGCCATGGAGTGAAACTCCTAGTACTTATCTCAACTATTCTTGGATGTTAGTCTCCTATTTTGTTACTTTATATTCTCCAGATGAATGCAATCTTTCTGTGTTTGTCCTTCTCTTTCTGACTCATTTCACTTAGCATGATACTTTCCATATGTACCACTATATGTAAATTTCATGACTTCGTCTTTTCTAACAGCTGCATAGTACTCCATTTTATAGATGTACCAAAGTTATGGAACAACAAACGCCCATGAATAGCTAAAGCATTTCTTGGGAAAAAGACATGGGGATGCATCACCCTCCCCAACCTCAAACTCTACTACAAAGCAGTAATAATTAAAACAGCATGGTACTGGAAAAAAAGGCAGGTCGGCAGACCAATGGAACAGGGTGAAATATCCGTACACACAACCCCAAATGTATGAACATCTAGTCTTTGATAAGGGAGCAAGAAATGTGAAGTGGAGCAAGGAAAGCCTCTTCAATAAATGGTGCTGGCATAACTGGACAACCACATGCGAAAAAATGGGCTTAGACCTCAATCTAACACCATGCACAAAAGTTAGATCAAAATAGATTAAAGATCTCAACATCAGGCCAAAATCCATAAGATACATTGAAGACAAGGTCGGCTAAACCCTCCACGATATTGAGGCTAGTGGTATCTTCAAAGACGACACTCCACTGACTAACCAAGTGGAAACAGAGATAAACAAATGGGACTATCTTAAATTAAGAAGCTTCTGCACCTCAAAATATACAATAACCAGAATACAAAGGCAGTCTACAGAGTAGGAAAGGATATTTACCCAATACCTATCTGATAAAGGGTTGATATCAAGGATATACAAAGCACTGGTTGAACTCCACTAGAAGAAAACGTCCAACCCCATCAAAAAATGGGGCGACGAAATGAACAGAAAATTTCTCAAAGAAGAAATACGAATGGCTAAAAAGCACATGAGAAAATGCTCTACATCACTAATCATCAGGGAGATGCAGGTCAAAACAATGATGAGCTATCACCTCACACCACAGAGACTGGGCCACATCCAAAAGAACGAAAGCAACCTGTGTTGGCGGCGTGGATGTGGCGAGAAAAGGACTCTCCTTCTCTGCTGGTGGGAATGCTGACTGGTTCAGCCCTTTTGGAAAACAGTTTGGACGATTTTCAAAAAATTAGAAATTGAGCTCCCATTTGATCCAGCAATAACACTCCTGGGAATATATCCTGGAGAGGCAAAAAAGTATAGCCAAAATGACATCTGCACTTCTATTTTCATTTCTGCACAATTGCTGCACTGTTCACAATAGCCCAAATCTGGACAAAACCCAAGAGCCCGAGAACAGATGACTTAGTTTTTTCCCATTGAGAGTAATGCTTGTTGTGGACTTGTGGTAGATGGCTTTGTCCATATCGAGGAAAGTTCCTTCAATTCCCATTTCATTGAGAGTTTTCATCATAAGCAGGTGCTGTATCTTGTCAAATGCTTTCTCTGCATCTATTGATATAAAACCTTTTATTTTTAAAGTAGACAATAAAATTAACAAGATGTTCTTAGTGCCTTAACCACTATCTAATTAAGTTGTTGAAAATGTAGAGTAATTATTGGAATTTTGCTTTTAAAACTGCTTACTCCTCATTACTAGCTTAAGTTAAATTCCTGATAGTTACAAAAATTTGAAATGCAAATATCCTTTTTATACTTTCAATTCTCAGTATCATTTTCCTTAAGTAAATAAAGACTTAGGTGTTTGTTTTTGACCAGATATGTTAACTGATGAAACAATGATTGAACTAAACTTTAAGGTGGAAGCCACATGAATGAAATCCCCATATCGAAAAAAATTTGCAATGTTTGTGTCATTGTCACTGTCCTCCAGTTGTTCATCGATTTGTTCAAGCGGGTTCAGTAATATCTCCATTGTGACACTTGTTACTGTGTTTGGCATATCGAATATGTCACAGGGAGCTTGCCAGGCTTTGCCGTGCAGGCAAGATACTCTCGGTAGCTTGCTGAGCTCTCCAAGAGGGGCAGAGGAATCGAACCTGGGTTGGCCAGGTCAGCTGCGTGCAAGGCAAATGCCCTACCACTGTGCTATAGTTTCATTTACTAGTGTTCTCAAACAAACTATAGGTGCTCTTAAATAATTAACTTAGGAAACAAAGAGAAAAAAGTATTCATATGTAAGCACTAATCTATTAATTTAAGGACTCCAGGTGCACCAAAAAACAAACAACCCCCCCCCCAACACACACACACACACACACACACACACACACACCTTAATACATTGAACATTAGGCATTTAGTTTTTTGTTTTTTAATTTAATTAAAGAACTGTGATTTACAGTGCAATTGATAGTTGAGTTTTAGGCATATAATTTAGCACCAATCCCACTAACAGAGTCAATTTCTGTCCTCCATTGTTCCCATATCCCATCTCCACCCCCAGTCCTTGCCCCATCCTCTGCCTGTTAGCTTGACAGGCCCATATCAAAGTTCCTGTGGTTATAACTTAGATCTCATGTTTTCAGTGTTGTTGAATCTATGTTTTTAATATATGGTGATAACAGTCACTGTTAACACCAATATAGCTGAAACCCTGATCCCTGTTCACCCATTCCTTCTTATTTTCTTCTTCCCTCCTTGATTTCTTTCCTTCTCTCTCCTTCTACTCTCTAAACACTGGGGTCAAAAGTGATCTAGCCATCCCCCCCTTGACTTCAATATATTTTCTCATCCAGTATTCTGTTTACCACAGATAAGTGAGATCAATCTGTGTTTGTCTTTTTTCTTCTGACTTCATGCAACATGATATCTTCCAGTTCCAACCAGGTTGCAGCAAATTGCTTGATTTCATCGTCCCTTATAGCTTAGGCAGTTAGGTTTTTAACATTTGATTCTAATGCTTATTCATAGAGTATACAGTGTATATACATAACCATTCTGAATTTGGTGACTCTACTTGTTATTAATTCACAGCCTTTTTTCAACTGTGGCACCCTTCCAACCTTATTTTCTTCCTCTGCCCCACCTCATCCTAACACTTGGCCCCTAATCTCATGTCATTTGTGTACCTCCATTTACATGATTTTCACCTGTGACTCCCTTGGATATCCTAAGGGCTCATAGGTCATATGGCTCCCTGTTGAGAAACACTGGTCTACAGAAAAACTTTTTATTATCGAGACTTTTGTCTCATTTCCTATCCAGAAGCTCACTTTTATGTTCAGTTTCAAAAGGGCATATTTTCCTTTTTCTCCTTTAAGGTATGTTTTAAAGTATTCCTAATTAAGTTGGGGGTCCCTCTTTTCTGATTTGAGGATTATATTATTAGTTTTATCAGATGTTAAGAAAAATCTATTGAAAAATTATTAAAAAATTAAGAATGTAGCATTTCTTTGTCCTATGTTGATAAATCCTACCCTAAGATTATTTTTGTCCTGAATGGAGTCCCAGGTCTGAGTACATGTGAAGTTATCACTCTTCAGCTTTCTGGAAAGATGTCAGACTAATTTTCCAACAAAAGATCTTTATTGCTTGACCATTGTTACCAAGACAATGTCTAGAGAAACTTTAGCACTCAAACTGATTGACTATTAATAAAAAGTAAGTCACATTTGTACTCTTATTGTAGTCATTGCTGTGTTGGTCTAGAGCCAGGGGAAGATGCTGAAGAATTTTACAATGAATTACTTCCATCAGCTGCAGAGAATTTTCTGGTGTTGGGGAGAAGGTTGCAAACATGTTTCATTAATGCTCAGGTATGTGTATTATTAACTGCTTCATAACAAAAACAATTGTCATTCTTAAGAAGATATTCTGCTTTATTTTTCAAATGTATAGTTCGACTGAATGTACAGTTAGAAATTTTAACTTCTGTGTGAATTTTTTTTTAATTTAGACACCATGATTAACATAGTTGTTTACAGTAGTTTTTCAGACATATATTTCTACCTCCACCACTCTGTATGTCCACGTCTCTCCACCACGGACCCTGCCCAACCCCCCAACCTGTCTTGACAGATACCTTATTAAGGATGAGATCAAATGGGAAGTAAAAAGGAAATAGCAAAAGAACCCATATTTGTTCTGTATACTTAGAAACATCCCTGTCAGATTTTTTTTAAATAGCTAGTTACCAGGTAAATCACATGGTAGGATATATATTCAAGATATCCTGACCTTAAGTATAAAATAATTAAAATAGTATATATATTTATATATGTACATAGTGTATGCATATCTATACCTTTATTTTACATAAATAATACTGATAATTTTTTTTAATTTTAGGGACCTTTTTCAAGCACATATATGGTACTAAGGGCCATTTCAGTTATAATTAGCCTCAGCAATGTTGGACTGTGTGTGTTCAGCAGTGCTGAGCGCCATTAGGGTTAACCCCAACAGTGCTTAGGGCACCGGGGCTACGACCTGGTGACGTTTAGGAAGCTGTGTAAAGGCAGAAATCAAACTCAAGACTTTTAGTGCATGAAAGGCATGCTTTCCAGTCCTTTCAGCTATCTTCCCAGCCCTATATCTTTTACAATTTTATTGATACTATATATGTGTGATATGTATATGTCTCCAAGAATAAAAACACACATATTCAAGAATCTTTTAAGTGATTCAAGAATAAATTTTATTACTTTCTCAGTGACAGTATAATTTGGGATATTATCTAATTTTTTTTAAAGAAAATTAAAGTCCAGCACTATTCTTGAGATTAACAACAATGAGGATTCTAATACCCAATCTGCTGTGTTGCTTGGTGAAATTGACAAGGGCTGTTTACTGGATTAAAGGAATACTTAATTTTATGATATTCTGTTTTGTATTGTTGTAAATTAGCACATGATAGTTTAATCATCTCTCACCCTGTGTCGGAATAGTAGGAAGAAAAGTCTTTCATTATTTTGACGAATAACTCTACCAATTGTAATATTTTTCCTGTTGTCATTATTATGTTTGTTCTGCAGTACATTCAGGGCCTGAATACAATTAGTTATCCTTATATGCTTTCCACTAAAGATAATTGTGACTTAAGAAAGAACCATATAGAATATTCATGTACTTAAAACTGATTGAACATTTACTATGTGTCAAAGCTGTTTTGGACACTGAGTAGTGGGGAGCTAAAAGGCATGATCTCCCCTCATGGAATCAGAATAGAAAATGCAGAATAGATAAAGCCATCTGAAATGCACTGATAATAATGTCTTATATGTTGACATCTCTGTTTGTGTTTGTGGCAGTTTCCAACTCTTTTTACATAATGAAAGCTGTGAAATACAGATGTCTAGATTTTACTATAGAGATTCAGATTCATTATGTTTGAACTAGTTTGTAAATTGTTTTGTTTAAAAAGTTTAACTTGATTCTGAAGCATAGCCAGTGGTAAGAAATTCTAGTGTATCAGCTTACAGTTTTTATACTTCTTACATTGTCTCATTTGGCCTTTGGATAACAACTATTGCTAACAGGTATAATCGGTATCACTACCCTGTAATCAGAAGTTTTATAAGCTCTCAGATTATTCCCTCATAAATATCTAAGTTAGATACAGTAACTGGACACTTAACCCCCCAATAAAAAGTCTCCTTTTTACTGAAATCATTAAGAAGCAAATTTGTTTTTTTATGTATTAAGGATCAAGGAAAAGATGAATTACTACACTTTTTTCAAGTTGTTACTGATTCTCTCTTTTGGCTTTTGGAAGGCCATGTTCAACTCATCCAAAATGGTAAGAAAAAAGATTTTTGTTTGGTTGGTTTGGGGCAATTTAAGAATTTGAATCTAGGCTTTCACACATACAAGCCAACTACTCTACCACTGAACAGCATCCCCAGCCCCCAAGAAAAGATGTTGAAGTTTTTGCTGTTTGGGCCATACCCAGCTTTATTCAGGACTTACTACTGGCTCTGTACTCAAGGACCATGCCTGCTGCTTGGAGACCATATGTGGTGCCACAGATCAAATCACCTCCTGGAATGAAAATGCCCTGGACCTGTACTTTGACCATCTCTTTGACCCCAACCAAGAAAAGATTTCTCTATGCGACCAATAGTTACATTAGAATAACCCACTAACAGTACCTTTTTTAAAAAAAAAAAATACCTCATTGGCTATTCAGATAACCATGGTTAAGTAAAAGCACACTCAAATGTTTTAATAACCCCATCCTCCCATTTATAAAAAAAATAGAAGCCTATTTGGACATTCCTGCTTTACATACCACATTGACAATGGATATAGTCAGAGGGAAATTATTAAAATACAACTTTCTCCCTTTTTTCTTTTTAGTAAATCTAAATAAGGATCAATGGTAATTTTAACAGTTTAGGGAAAATATTTTCCAAAGTGTCAAAGATCATAATACTATTGGATTTTACTTAAAGTGAGAGAAATTCATATGTATAGAGTAGATATTTTTGACTCATGGCCTATTTATGTAAACGCTAGCTCTTACATAATGACATTTAATGAACTTGCAAGATGTAGGTAGAATATCTTTAAGCTGATATTAAGAGATATAAATCTATAAGTACACTGACTTTATAAAGTAGTATCTAAAGCTTTTTTCATAATTATGCATGCATGTGATTTAAGGAATTAAAATTTTCTTTAAGGATTGTTGGAAAAGGAAAACCATAATTTCTGGTCCTCATACTTCTTTCCATTTTCTGTTCTCTAAATTTAACTGTTTTCAGTATAACTAATACTCTTAGCAGAAATATCCATGTAAAGCTCAGTAACATGCTTATATGTTTTTTATTTTTAAGCATTACCCATTTCCCATTATAGAATAGATATTATAAAGTTGGCATTTTAAAGAACTATTTTACCACAGATTATAAGTACTTTGTCTCATATAGTGTGATGTGAAAGACCTAGTTAAAGGATAACAGGAGAGAATACTGGAGTAATTTTTAAATTATTTCCTCTTTTTTCCCCTAACAAGAAATATTTAAATATTATATGTAGGTGGTAAAATTTAGGTTACAAATATGAGTTAAATAATATATTCTAGTTTACTGGAAAGGAACAATTTAATAGTCATGTTTTAAGTAGAAAATGGACAGGAGTGTCAATTGCTATGCAAAAATTTAACAGTTTAAATGATTCTTAGACAATATTGGTGGAAAATATATGGCAAAAATTTTATAAAATTGTTCTATTCAGGTCTGTAAAAATAACTGCAATTGGTTTTAAGGGCAGAAAAGTAGATTCAAAGTACGTCTTTTCTCAACAAGCTAATGATCGTTTAAGTCTTATGTAAAAATATGGTTTAAATTTGGACATTTAAGGTAAAGCGTACATATTTATATAATTTAAAAAATGAAAACTCACCAGGCATGTTGCTCAAATCGTAAAGTACATGTAAAACCCGGAGTTCAAACCTTGGCACTAATCGGCTGTGAGCACCACCAGGAGTATTCTCCCCCCGCCAAAAAAAAAAAATAAATAAAAGTAATAGGTACAACAAAAGAGATAATGTTCTTTCAGTAAATCTATAATTTAAAATATCAGTAAACTTAATCTATAAAATATATATGCAGGATATAGGTGGAAACAAAATTGGGATCCACAATAACCTTTCCCTCTAAAAAAAAATTGACTTCTTAGACAATGGTTGCCTTATAGTCTGAGCTAATGGTTAGCCAGGAAGGAATCAGTCAAATACTATTGGTGAAAGGACTCAGGAATCAACTAAAGGAAGCTTCTCTTAGCCAAGAAGGAGTATTTCTGCAGTATGATTGTTAATAATTACAGTGTTTTGAAATACATCACTACAGTGGAACTAAATGTTAAGAAAATTATTTATGTTAAAAATTAGTAAATGTAGATTTCAGAATTTACTCTGCCCTTCCTTACTGCAGAGGCAAAATTTCTCTGTATTAAGTATTACAAAGAGTGAGCGAAAAAGACATAAAAGAATAGTGCCATTTACAATCCTTGATGATAGATTTAGGAATCTAAAATCTTTTACTGTAAGCATATCAAAAGGAAAAACAACCAGACATTAGTTACTCCTAATGGCTCATCTTAACATAGAGTAGCACTGTCCTGTCCTCTTGATTTGCTCAAGCGGGCACCAGTAACATCTCACAACAAATTGTGAGACTTGTTACTGTTTTTGGCATATCGAATACATCACGGGTACTTTGCCAGGCTTTGCCATGCGGGTGAGATACTCTCGGTAGCTTGCTGGGCTCTCCAAGAGGGGCAAAGGAATCAAACCCGGGTCGACCGCACACAAGGCAAACGCCCTACCTGCTATGCTATCACTCCAGCCCTAACATTGACTATATATACCAAAATTCAATCCAGAGTCTTTTTGATCCTCTATAGTTTCAACTACCAGTTCTTAGAGAAATATTAAATTATACACCAGAGATACAGTTAGTGAAATCTGATTTTCAGAAGTTAGTAGAACAGTTTTAAGTTTTATCAACAGATAAATTGCAAGAAAAAAATAAAATTCCACAGATTTAAAAATATCTGAAAGATAGCCTATTACAGTTTGTGAATCTTACTTGGATCTTGATTCAGACAAACTTAAAAATTCACAATACAGGGACTAGAAAGTTAGTACAAGAGTTAAGGTGCATACTTTGTATGCAGCTAGAACTCGGGGGTAACCAGGGTAATTCCCAGCACCACATCCTCAGGTCTTTGCATTGAACTGCCAGATCAGTTGGCCAAGAATCACTGAGAAGGAACTTTGGCACTTCTGAGCCTAGGTCTCTCAATTGAGAGACCTTTCCCACCCCCAATAATTCAGTATAATTGGAAATAGGTGCACTGTCTAGATAACTTGATAAAATTAAAGAATCGGGATTATTAGCAGTGTTCATGCTTAGACAGTGTTTTATTTTTTACTGTTTATGTTTTAATTAGTCATATCTCTGGGAACATATATGAAAATATTATGGATAAAACAGTGTCTTGGGTTTACTTCAAATAAATGGGGAAGGTAAAATAAGATTGAGAATAACTAGATAAATTTTTTATATTTGTACCACACCCACCTGTCACTGCTCAGGGCTTACTCTTGGCTCTGTGCTCAGGAGATCATTCCAGGTGGTACTTAGGGAACCAGTGGGTATTGACGATCAAATTTGGGTCAGACACTTGCAAGGCAAACACCCTATCTGCTATACTATTTCTCCAACCCCCTGTTAGTCATTGTTAAGATTGAGTCATTGTTTTGTTTAAACTTATAGGGGCTGGAGCGACAGCACAGCGGGTAGGGCGTTTGCCTTGAACGCAGCCAACCCGGTTCGAATCCCAGCATTCCATATGGTCCTCTGAGCACCGTCAGGAGTAATTCCTGAGTGCAGAGCCAGGAATAACCCCTGAGCATTGCCAGGTGTGACCCAAAAAGGAAAAAAAAATAAACTTATATATATCTAAAAGCATTATTATTAAAGCTTCAACAGACTGCATTTGAAAAGCAGAATGAAGACTTATAAGTTATGGCAAACCCTTGGCCTTGAATTACAAACTTTAGATATAAGCAAGGGTGGAGGGAAATGAAGAGATGGACTAGAAGAAACACGCAATTGTTGTAGGATATTGGGTACTTTGGGTTTCAGAAACTTCAGATACATCAGTATCATAAACTTATCATATTGGAGCCATGTTACCTAAACTGTGAAAAAGTTATATAATTATCATAAAGCTAAAAAATAAGAATGGCTGTTTAATAATTTTAGCTTAATTTTTATATAAAACTACATAATTCTAAACTACTTATAAAGGATTATTAAGTAGACAGAAACAGGATGAATGTACTTATCCCACAGAACAAATTGCTATTAAAGTAATAAAAGTTAAGAGCCATAGAAATAATAATAGTGAAATTATTTTTACAACTTTTTGAAGTTGTTAAACATTTTTAAAATTTGGTATCTAAAGAATTCTTAGAATATTGGACTGCATAAATATAAACTGGACTGTGTAATAAATACATAAATACTGGATTACATAAAGGACAACCATTAGTATAAGAAAGAAATCAAGTATGCCCACTCAGGATATAGCAGAAAAGAGTAAAATTGTATGGAAGCTGGCATGCTATTCACAGAGAGTTCACCTGGCAGTTCATCTGATCGTGATTTAATTAAACTTTTTGATCAGTTAGTGGAAAAGAGAATAAAAAAATGATATTGAGTGGGAACCTCCTTTGACTATTTTTTTTTGTAGTTTTACAGATAAAGAAATGGTTGTCCTAAGAGGTTAAATATCTTGCATTTTCATGTAATGCCATGTCTTCATAAATAGCTGCTCAGAGCTTAAAAATTCCTAGCCACTAAAATAAATTTTGTTTGCAATTAATAATTTTATTACTTAAGATACTAGCAAGTATGATGCATTTTATAATCATTAAAAATTTTTTTAAATAAAAATAAATTTTAAGTGCATCAGAACTATACTTTGGTCATCAGTAACATTTCTTTTCCTTCATAATGTTAGGGACAGAGAAATAGTACAGAGAGTAGGGCTCTTGCCTTGCAAGCAGTATATCAGGTTCAGTCACATATGATGCCCTGAGCACCGCTGGGTGTGAACAATAACAACCAAAAAAAGCAAGAAATAAAGGAAATTTGATTTTATAAACTAGAAAATGATTCAAACTTAGGAAACATTTTCAAATTATGGGTAATAAAGAGGTTGGTGTTTGCATATACTATAACTGTTCATAAGTGTGGAATGGTTTATTTTTAGTTACTAAAACTTCCTACAACTTAAAATGTTCTTTATTATAAAGAATGTAAAGACAGAAGTTTAATAGGCATGGTCATTAATTTAGTTTAATTTAGTTTTAAAGAAAAGGATAACTCAAAATTTAATACAATTGTCAGAGTTTATATTTTAGTCTTTCTTTCTTCTCTTAGTATTACAAAGTGATCATTTCTTGCACTTACTTCAAACTGACAATGTTCAAATAGGATCTACGGTCTTGTCTACACTACAGAACATACTACAGATCAACAGGTGACTTGATTTTATAAAATGTTATTTTTATTATTATTATTTTCATTAGTGAAACACCATGAGTTACAGTTGTAGACTTACAGATTTTGTGCTTGGGTTTCGGTTATACAGTGATTGAGTACCCATCCCTCCACCAGTGCCCATTCCCCACCTCCAATGCTCCCGGAATCCCCCCCATCCCCCCATCCCACCCCACCCCTGTGGCAGTGCATTCCCTTTTGTTCTCTCTCTCCTTTTGGGTGCTGTGGTTTGCAGAAGAGGCATTGAGTGGCAATCGTGTTTGGTCTATAGTCTGCTTTCAGCATGCATCTCTCATCCTGGGAGGATCCTCCCAACACCCTTTATTTGGTACTGCCTTCTCTATCTGAGCTGCCTTCTCCCCCAGCATGTGTGGCTGGCCTCCAAGCCATGGAGTGAACCTCCTGATACTTATCTTGGCTATTCTTGGGTGTTAGTCTCCCATTCTGTTACTTTATATTCCCCAGAGGAGTGCAGTCTTTCTATGTCTGTCCCTCTCTTTCTGACTCGTTTCACTTAGCATGATACTTTCCATGTAGTACACTTGCATGTAAATTTCGTGACATCATCTTTTCTAACAGCTGCATAGTATTCCATTGTGTAGATGTACCAAAGTTTCTTTAACCAGTCATCTGTTCTCGGGCTCTCGGGTTTTTTCCAGATTTTGGCTATTGTGAATAGTGCAGCAATGAACATAGAAGTGCAGATGTCATTTTGGCTGTACTTTTTTGCCTCTCCGGGATATATTCCCAGGAGTGATATTGCTGGGTCAAATGGCAGCTCAATTTCTCATTTTTTGAGAATCGTCCATACACACAACCCCAAATATATGAACATCTAATCTTTGATAAGGGAGCAAGAAATGTGAAGTGGAACAAGGAAAGCCTCTTCAATAAATGGTGCTGGCATAACTGGAAAACCACATGCAAAAAAAAAATAGGCTTAGACCTTGACCTAACACCATGCACAAAAGTGAGATCAAAATGGATTAAAGATCTCAACATCAGGCCAAAATCCATAAGATACATTAAAGACAAGATCGGCTAAACCCTCCACGATATTAAGGCAAATGGTATCTCAGTCACTGAGTCTGGCCCCCAAAATTTAAAAAAAAATGATAAAAAAAGATTTTCTTCTGCCTTGTCTTCAAATAGCTTATAGTGTTGTGGACAAGACTGAACAAAAAACATAAACTAGTATATATAAGTTAATATAAACTAGTATATTAAGTTATAAGAACTCCTAACCCAAAGAGGTATTATGCCTCATAGAGTAGGTAACAACAAGGGTGATACTTTATTTTTCTGTTTCGGGGTCAACATCCGGCAGTGCTCAGCACTTGCTCTTGGCTCTCCCCAGTGATTGCTTCTGGTGGGCTCAGGGGGCCAGATAGTATGCCAATATTGAACCTGGGTCAGCTACATGTGAGACTAATGGCCTACCGCTCTGGCACCTTAGAATGATATTTACAAGGTTAGAAATTAACAGAGCATGAAAAGAAAAGGTAGTATTTCTACTGTAAGATAATTTATGCAAAAAACATATAAGAAACATGTTGAGGATTAAAATAGTTGAATTCATTGTTAGTAGATAGATGACATTAATATTTGCTACGGGGAAGTGACTAGCAAGTTCTCAGAAGCTATAGAACTTGCATGTTTTGTTAAGGAAGCTAAGTCTTACCCTTTTGGCATTAAGACTATAGAAGTATATTTATAGTGAATGAAAGTGAGATTATGTTTTAGCATGTCAGTTTGGTAATTGTGTAGAAGAAAAAGTTAAGGAAGAAAATTTAGATAAAAAAGCAAGTAGAAAAAGAAACTTAGAGTAATCTAAGTGAATAATCTTAGTCTTAGGCACTATGGAATGATTTTTTTTTAGAGGGAACCACATTCAGCAGTGCTGGGGTACCAGGGATCAAATGCCAGAGAGTCACTTTTTTAAACTGATAAATTAAAATCATTATGTTTTCACTTGTGATGAATATAGAACAGAATAATAGGATAAACATACCATCCTTCCAGGAAAAAAGGGTGAACACTAGGCAAAACAAGAAGTTATTTTTTTTGTTGGTTTTTGGACACTGAGAGCTTATTCCTGGCAGGGCTCAGGGACCATATTGGGTGTTGGAAATTGACCCCAGGTCTGCCATGTGCAAGGAAAGTGCCCTATCCACTGTGCTGTCTCTCCAGCTTCAAGGAACACTTATTTATTTTATTGAATCATTGTGAGACACAGTTACAAAGCTTTCATGTTTGAATTTCAGTTATACAGTGATCGAACACCCATCCCTCCACGAGTACACATTTTCTGCCACCAATATCCTCAGTGTCACTCTCCCATCCCAACCCTCCCCCTGCCTGTATGGCAGACTATTTCCCCCATACTCTCTCTCTACTTTTGGGCATTATGGTTTGCAGTACAGATACTGAGAGGCTATCATGGAGAATATCATGCTAAGAAACACCTTTTTTTTTTTTTTAAGAAACACTGTTTTTAAAGAAACTGAACTTACATCGGTGAATGACTGAGTCCTGAAAAAAGGAATGAGCAGTAGGAACAAGCAGTATAGGCCTAACATTCCCCCACTGTGTGACATTTAGAGAGTTTTTGGATTGTGATGTAAAGGTCTCCCAACGAGATTGAATTGAAGAAATAGCGCTGAAAGCGTACTGCTTTTGCTAAGGAGATGAAACAACATGTAGACATCACACAACATAGAACCAGACAACACAAAGAACTCTAGAGATCTGTGGGAGTTACCCTTCAAGTACTGATTAGCATAGACTGGTGTGATAGTACAGTGTGTGGAACAATTGTCTTGAACATGGCTAATCCAGGTTCAACCCCCCAGCACTACTTTGGGTCCCCTGAGCCCCATCAGGAGTGATCCCTGAATGCAGAGCCAGGATTTAGGTTTTAGCAGTGCTAGGTGTGGCCCAAGACAACAATAAGAAATACATATATCACTGTCGTCCCATTGTTCATCGATTTGCTCGAGCAGGCCCAGTAACATGCCCAATGACAGATGAATAAAGAAATGATAATGTGTGTATATTAAATGGAATGTTATACAACTTGAAGGAAGGGTGAATTCTTGTGGTTTACTGCCACTTCGATGAAATTGTAGGGAGTATCACATAAAGTGAAATCTCAGGAGAACAACAAATACTGAATGGTCTCACTCATCTGTGGCATAGAGAAAACAAGTAAATAGTATTAGATGGTGACAAACCCTTGTTTATCCTTGGGTTACAAAATTCAATTTATAAAATCACTGAGAAGATGGAAGACTCTGAGTAAAAGTAATGAAAGGATAGTGGTAGAAGATCTTAGACATCTTGGTGATGGCAAGATGAAAAAACTTTGTTCATGAAAACTACAAAAATTAACAGCATTATAATCATTTTATCTGAACTATAATTAAAAGCATTGCAAAACTATTTTAAAAGAAGAAGATTTACATCGGGGCTAGTACAAGGTTCGGTCCTGGCTCAAAACCCAGGCACTAACAGGTGTAGTACTGAAGGTGTCTGAGCAGCACTGCATTTTCAGTCCCTCACTACTGGTTTGGTTTTCTGAGTATTATCTTGAGTTGCCCCTTGTCCCCCTGTGCAACTTTTCTGGTAGGCAGCAATCAACCCCTGCCTACCAGAAAAAAAGACTCATATTATAAATTAGTGAACTTGAAGATACAGAAAATACCCCAAATTAAAGGTCAGGAATCAAAAAATAGAGAAAGAAAGCATATCTTGGACTACTTCAAGCAGCATAATGTATGTATAATTAGAATACCAAAAGGAAAAAATAGAGTCAGAAGAAAATATTTGAAGAAATATATCCTGACACCTTCCATATTGGATGAAAACTATCAGGTTCTAACGTTTCATAAACCACAAAACCAATATATATAAAGAAAATTCTATAACAAGGGAGATTGTAATTAAGCCAGATAAAAAGAAAGAATCTTAAAAGCAACTGAGTATGAGGGAAAGGAAAAGACTGAAGCTAAGGATAATAGTCACTTTCTTATCAAAAACAATAGAAGCAAAGATATTTTGAGAAGTATCTTTAGATTGGTATTGGGTAAATATTCTCTCCCTGGGCTCTCTGTATTTTGGTCAATGTTTCTTTTGAGGTGCAGATTAGTTTATGTTTGTTTACACTTCCTTGGTCAATGGTGTTTCATCCTTAAAGATGCTTTTAGCTTCAATGTCATGGAGGCTTCTTCCGCCATTTTTCTCCATGTACCTTATGGATTCAAACCTGATTAATCCACTTTGATCTGGCTTTTGTGCCTGGCATTAGACAGAGGTCAGAGTTCATTTTTTTTGCAGGTAGCTGTTCAGTTTTCCCAGTACTGCTTGTTGAAGAGGCTTTTCTTGTTCCACTTCACATTTCTTGCTCCTTTATCAAAGACTAACTGATCATATACTTGAGAGTCTGTGACAGAATATTCAATTCTGTTCCTTTAGTCTGTGGGTCTGTTTCTAGCCCAGTACTATTCTGTTTTACTTACTGCAAGACACTAGTAGAATTGTACAAGAAAAAACCTCCAACCCCATCAAAAAATGGGGAGAAGAAATGAACAGGAGCTTCCTAAAAAAGATACAAATGGCCAAAAGCACATGAAAAAATGGTCGACATCACTGATCATCAGGGAGATGCAAATCAAAACAGCAGTGAGATACCATCTCACACCACAGAGACTGGCACATGTTCAAAAGAACAAAAGCAATCAGTGTTGGTGTGAATGTGGGGAGAAAGGGATGCTTTTTTACCATTGGTGGAAATCCCGACTGGTCTAGCCTTTCTGGAAAACAATATGGGCATTCCATCAAAAACTAGAAATTGAGCTTCCAATATGGCCGCACAATACTGCATCTGGGAATAAATCCCAAGGGTACAAAAAAGCACAGTAGAAATGACATCTGCAACTGTATATTCATTGCAGCACTGTTCACAATAACCGGAATCTGGAAACAATCCAAGTGCCTGAGAACAGACAACTGGTTAAAGAAACTTTGGTACATCTACACAATAGAATACTATGCAGCTGTTAGGAAAGATGAAGTAATGAAGTCTGCTTATAAATGCATGGTCCTGGAGAGCATCATGCTAACTAAAATGAGTCAGAAAGAGAGGGACAGACATAGAATGACTGCACTCATTTGTGGAATAAAACATGAGACTGACACCCTAGGACAGTAGAGACAGGGTGAGGAATACTGCCTCATGAGCTGGGGGTCGGGGGGGGAAGGCAGCTGGAACAGAGAAGGGATCACGAAGTCAATGATGTCTGGAGGAATCGCTCGGGATAGGAGATGTGTGCTGAAAATAAAGGATCAAACATGATAGGCACTCAGTATGTGTATTGCAAACCATAATGCCCCAAAGTAGGGAGAGAGTATGGGGGAAATTTTCTGCCATAGAGGTAGGTGGGAGGGGGGATACTGGGGATCTGGGGATATTGATGGTGGAAAATGTACACTGGTGGATTCAATAAAATAAATAAAAGTAAACATTTAAAATGCTGGAAGAAAAAAATCTCACTAGAATTTTATACTCTTTTAATTATTTTGTATGACACCAAAAGTAAAATTTACCAATCATGGAAGAATTAGGTAAATTAAACATCCTCATTTTTTCTTTTTTCTGTGATGGCATTGCTTTTTTTTAATTGAATCACCATGAGATACAGTTATAAAACTTTCATGATTGAGTTTCAGTCATACAACAATTGAACACCCATCCCTCTACTAGTGTACATTTTCCACTACCAATGTCCCCAGGATACCTCCCACCATTCCTACTCCACCCCACCCCCTGCCTCTGTGGCAGACAATTTCTTTCTTTCTCTCTACGTTTGGGCATTATAGTTTGTAATATGAGAGATTATCCTGTTTAGTCCTTTATCTACTTTCAGCATATATCTTCCATCCTGAGAGGTCTCCAACCATCATTGACATAGTGATCTCTTCTCTATCCCAGCTGCGTTCTCCCCCAGTTCATGAGGCAGGCTTCCAACCGTGGAGCAATCTTCCTGGTCCTTGTCTCTACTGTTCTTGGGTGTTAGTCTCGTATTATGTTATTTTATGTTCCACAAATGAATGCATTCATTCTATGTATGTCCCTCCCTTTCTGACTCATTTCACTTTTCATGATACTCTCCATGTCTCTCCACTTATAAGCAAATGTTATGATTTCGTCTTTTTAACAGCTGCATAATATTCCATTGCATAGATTTCCAAAGTTTCTTTAACCAATTGTCTGTTCTTGGGCACTTGGACTGTTTTCAGATTCTGCTGTTGTGAACAGTGCTGCAGTGAACATACAGGTGCCAAAGCCGTCTTCAGACTTTTACACTTGTTCTTTTAGACTATCTACAAGAGTGAAGACAAGCCACAGACTAGCAGGAAATATTTACTAAACATATTCCTTAAGTACTTGCTTCCAAAATGTATTTTAAAAGTTCTCAAATTTTTAAAAAATATGAATACTTGATAAAAGAATATGAGAGGTTATAATGTTTAGTCCTTCATCTACTTTCAGCATATATTAACAAGTACAGAAAAAAAGTGTTCAGTGGCATTAGCTGTTAGAGATGCCACTGCTTATTTCAGTAGCCAAAATTTAAAACCTGTGGCAAGCATTGACAAAGATGTTAAGAAACACAAACATTGTTGCTGACATTGTGAAATGTCATTTTTTCACAGTAAGAACTCCAGCCATTTGAGCTCTCTTCTTGGCCTGGCTTCTTTGGCAGTTTTTGAAGCTAATTATACAATCTACCCATCCATTTCATTCTGTTACCTACCCAAGAGAAATGAAAGCACTTAGCTATACAAAGATTTGTACAGTTTCACAGCAGTTATATAGTGACAAAGCATTGATTGCTCTGAAGTTTAGTGAGATGTGAATAGAGTTACAAGTCATCAGCCTATAGATCATAGTATAAAACCTGACAGATGGTGAACTCAGTTGCAAATACAAACAGAGTAAAGAGGACATGGTCTGCAATGGAGTCCTGTAGAATAGCTTGTAAGGAGTATATTGGAGGAGGGGAGCCCATGAAAAAGACTGAGTGTGGTTATACATCTATGGGGAGGGAGAGAATATTGTTTAAAATAATCTGCAGGCACAGAACATCAGGTGTAGAGGGTTAAAGAAAAATAAGCACTTAGGGTTAAACATGTGACTTGACATTTGGGAAGTTATGTAAATGAGATCATATCAGGGGCAGTTTTAGTAGTGAGTCAAAAAAAACAGATGCAGTGATTTGAGAAATAAGTAAAAGATGGGGAAGTAAAGAAAAGGAAGTTATGATGAGAAACATGCAGAAAGGTAAAGTGGCTGTACTCTACAGAGACTTTTTTTAGTATCTGGAAAGAAGAATATCTTTTCTCTTTTGAGAGGGTATTTTAAAGTACTTGAATTGAGCTTGGAAAGAGAGTACAGTGGATAAAGCACTTGCCTAAACATGGCTGACCCAGGTTCAGTCCCTGGGGCTGCCAGGATTGGTCCCTAAATGCAGAGCCAGGACTAAGTCCTGAGCACAGCCAGTTATAGCCAAAAATAAATAAATAAATAAATTCACTTAAACTGTTGTGTTACAATATGCTGCGAACTTCGTGGGATATATATTAAAGAAGTGATCAGTATGAAATAGGGAGGGTGTGTGTGTGTGTGTGTGTGTGTGTGTGTGTGTGTGTATACTGTGTGTGTGTCTTTGTGAAATGGACATGATTCTGACCTGAATTTTGAACTGTGTGTGTCTGTGTGTGTGCACGAGTGTGTGCATGTGTGTGTATGTATATGTGTGTATGTGAGAGAGAGAGAGAGAGAGAGAGAGAGAGAGAGAGAGAGAGAGAGAGACGGGGGGGGGGGGAATGAGCCACTTTCTGAAAGACTTGATTCTAACCTGAATTTTGAACAGTTTGAAAGTGTTAAATGTTACAGTGAAAATAGGGCCACATACTGGGAGTAAGTAATAGTTTAAGAACCAAAGTACACAGGAAGAGATTTCAAAAAGATTTTCCACATACATGGATTAGATGTTGGATGACCTTTAAAGTCCTTTCCTTCCCCCCAGGTCAGCTCCGTGCATCTTCCTATATATTCTCGACAGCCCTAATGTCTCTTTCAATCTTGTAATTGTTTTAAATTTAGGATGGGATACTGATCTCTTTTTCTTAAAGCATTTTGTGTGAATAGTTGCTAAGACATAAACTTAAAAAATTTAAAATTGATTCTTAAACAAATATAAAATTAACAAAATTGTTCACTTAACTCATTAATTAGAACTGGAAAGCTGTTTATGTTGATTCAAAGAGAATGTGAGTAGTTTGTAGAAATATACTAAATTTTTTAAAAGCAGAAAAATTTAAGAAAAGGAAATGGAGAGGTGGTCTTGAAAAGGAATCTAGAAATGAATTTGTTGATAAGTTACAAAATGATTAAAGTCTTTTAAGGCACTAGATAATCTTTAGGGTTGCATTTGTTGGACAAAAAACCATTTATATAGTTAAGATTCTGTATTCATTACGCTCAGATTATAACCATTGCCACTGTTTACTTTCTCACCTAACTTCTAATTAATTTTACAGAATTACAAAGTATTCTAATAGTGAACATGATCCTATGGGAGTGAGTAAGGGATATTCAGTAGTCTCCCTTTAGAATATCTCTAAGTTTTAGCTAATTTTTTGTGACATCAGTAATGGAAAGTGAGGTTGTTAGTATAATGATGGGAAATTAAATTTTCTCCTATAGTAAGTTTATAGCAAATTATATAACATTTTGTCTATACATCAGTAAACAATGAGTCTTGTACTTTCTTGTATTTTATTCTATTCGAAGATCTTATTATCTTTGAAATCTTTGATTTAATATTTTGCACATTATCACAATTATAAAATTCACAATTTTATAAAATTATAAAATTCACAATTTTATCACAGAATTTTCTGAGAGCAGCCTTTAGCAATTTTTATATTCCCCATTTTACCTAGTATGGTATCTTCTAACATAGAAATTCAATAAATATCAATTGATTTCATGTACTAATTCTCACAACATATATATATGTATATATATACATATAAATATAATCTTGGTTCAGGCCATGGTTAGGTGTTATTTTATTAAAGCTTATTATGTTTAATTTGTTAATGATGCCTATGAATCAATTAAAAATGGTATATTTTTCTTTTTCTTTTCTATGTAGTGGTGATTTACTCAGAATAGAAGAAAAAACCTTGCATTCAATTTTAGATGAAATTGTTTTCAAGCTTTTGTCAACTCCTAGTCCAGTCATAAGAAGTACTGCTACGAAGCTTCTACTATTGATGGCTGAATCTCATCAGGAAATTTTGATTTTACTGAGACTAAGTACCTGCTACGAAGGTAGTGTATACATTCTTTTCTTAAAGTTTTCAAAAACGAAATCATTTTTGACACATTTATTGACTTACTGACATTTTTGACAAATGACATCATTTGTTTACAGAAGACAAAATTCAGATTTTTTAAAAAAAGAATCAACGTAGTGTCACAGCAAATAGCTGTTTAAGATCAAGACTTTATGTGAACAAGCTATCTTCATGTTTCAGCAGATGGCACTTTGTTGATGCAATTACAATGAATACTCCTATGACAAAAAGGTTACTGTTCAATATACCATATAGTATAAAAAGTAATCAAGAAGATTGGAACCTTACGAAGACTTATCTTTACTGGAAAATAAATATGAAGCCGTGTTTGAGAAATTGACAGCCCTTTGACTTTATATCAGCCTGTACTCTTTTAGCCTATTCACTACTGTTGCTCAAAAATTAAATTTATCTCTATTATCACCAAAGCTCAAGCATATATGTAAATGTTCTAAAATTCAGAAGATTTGAGAATGAACAAAAAAGTTAAGTGTATTACTGCTCCAGTTATCTTTCATTTTAATTTTACTACTCCAGTTATCTTTCATTTTAATTATCTTTATAATTTAGACACTATACTGAATATGTGCATTAAAATCTATTCTAGTGCTGGAATGTTTTATGCATAAAATTCTACTATTGACAATTTTTAAACCACAGTGCTGAAAATAAAATATTTTTAATTAATAATATAATTCTGGACTGGAGCGATAGCACAGCAGTAGGGCGTTTGCCTTGCACGCAGTCAACATGGCCGACCCAAGTTCGATTCCTCCGCCCCTCTCAGAGAGCCTGGCAAGCTACCGAGAGTATCTCGCCTGCGCGGCAGAGCCTGGCAAGCTACCCGTGATGTATTCGATATGCCAAACACAGTAAGAACAAAGTCTCCAATGGAGATGTTACTGGACCCGCTCAAGCAAATCGATGAACAACGGGAGGACAGTGACAGTGAATATAATTCTATGACAGCCCAATGGAAGACTCTTAGAAGTGGAAACAGAAGCATTGAAAAAATATGTTATTTACTCAAATATCACATAGGTATTTTTGTTCAATTGTCAAGCAACCTATACTTTATCTTTGTGAACCAAAACCATGAATTAATTAAAATATATGGCTTTTTTTCAGCTAGATATGAAAATGGATTTTTAGTTTACTATATATAATTATTACAGTTGTATTTAAAAATAATTTTTAAAGAGTAACCCATGATGCATTTTTTATTTTTTTTTCATTCTTTATAATTTTATTTATTGAATCACCGTGAGAGCAGTTACAAAACTTTCGAGTTTAAGTCTCGGTCATACAATGAAACACCCGTACCTTCACCAGTGCCCATTTACCAGCCCAAAAAACCCCAGTATACCCCCACTCCACACCCTCCCCCTACCTGTGGGGCAGATGATTTCCACATTACTCTCTCTCTACTTTGATCACATTCAATAGTTTGACACCAGACCCACCATTATTATTTGGGATTCTACCCCAACACTCAGATCTGCTGAAAAGGAAACAGTAGACAATTTGTTTTCTATTGCTAGTTAAAAATAACATATGATATCACGTGGCTGCAGTAGTGGCCACATGATTTTGAAATTCTGAAATTTTAAAAATTAAATCTGAGGGATTTCTGCCAAAACCTGCTGGGATCCAAGATTTGTTCCTGAGTCTCAGGGATTATGTTAATTAAGCAGCTTGATCAGGAGCCAGAGAGGTCGTTTGTGGGCGATGACTTGGGGTCTTATTTGGGTGGGGAGGACAGGACCGGCTCTACCCCCATCCCGTGTGGCCCTGCGTGTCTCGTCACTGCGGGCCCAAACCTGACTGTCCAGTGGCCTCTGGAGGATGGCGGCCACCGGGCCTTTCCCAGTGGAACAGGCCAAGGCACGAAACCCACCTGGGTTGACCCAGCACCGGTAACCTACTGCAGGGACTGGACGCATTTCTGCCAAAAGCCACTGGGTTTCGAGATTTGTTTCTGAGTTTCTGGGATCATAGCCATTAAGCAGTTCAATCAGGAACCAGAGAGGCCATGCCTCCAATTAAAAGCTGAGCCGGAGGTTGTTTGTGGGTATGTCTCCTACATACCTAACTTTTGGCTGTTTACTTTCTTGGTAAACTTTGCCACAAGTTTTTGGGGTCTGGCCAAAGACATAGCAGCAATTTTGGGATATCTGAAAGTCTGAAGGCGCCATCAGGCTGCTGATGCACTCGCCTCACAGGTACAGATTGACCTGCTGGCGGCACCATATCCCCTTGCTCTCCCTTTTTAAATTAAAGATATTTCTTAGATAGATTTTGTATCAGATCTCACAAATAAGTGCATAAGAATTTTTAGGGGAGTGAACTGTCCTAAAGACAGTTTTAGAAATTTTTGAGAAAGGGAAAATAAAAATCATCTAATTAATCTTACTGTGCTCAGGGCACAGCGGGTAGGGCGTTTGCCTTGCACATGGTCGACCCAGGTTCGATTCCCAGCATCCCATATGGTCCCCCGAGCACCGCCAGGAGTAATTTCTGAGTGCATGAGCCAGGAGTAACCCCTGTGCATCACCGGGTGTGACCCAAAAAAAAAGCAAAAAAAAATTTTAATCTTACTGTGTTCATTTGCTTCTAAATTACTTTTTAACCACTGAATAATACTGATTAGATAAAAAATTATACTCTATTACTAATAGCTATATTTTTGCCTTTCCATTTCAGGACTCAGAAGTCTACTAAATAAACAGGCACCTGGAACAGAGTTTATTCAAGAACTTCGACAACTCATTGGCCTTTTAAGCCCTAAGGGCTATGAGGAACTACAAGAGCAGGTATTAAATTAAGAAATAATTTGCACATATGCATTTGAGAACATCTCAAAATGTAAAAATTTTAATGGAAAATTAATATTAAACAGTGGTAGCCTCCTAAATCTTCTATTTCTTTACTTATCTTCTCTCTGATGTTCAGAGCTGCCATAGTTTTATGGGGAAAGTATTGATTGTGATTTTTTTTAGCCTCTACAGATGTCCCTCAGAACCTGAAAACCCTCAATAACTGTAAATCAGGCAAAGAACAAGTCAGAACATAAGAGAATTAGGAAGTTGTTGAAAAGGTTCTAGAAGTGAGACTAATCAGAAGAATTTAGAGCTAACCAGATTTTTTTCTTGGATGTGTTCTAATATTGCCTCAGCCCATAATGCTTCCTTTGGAGGCTTAGCATTCTTTAGGCCTTCTATATCCTGGAGATGTGAAAAAAAAATTTTTAATTTTATTTTGTTTTAAGGGCCATACTTCTGGGATCAGTCCTACTGTGCTCAGGCAAGGTGCTCGGGATTGAACATGGATCTGCCATGTGTAAAGCCTTACCCACTAAACTATCTTACAAGCATGAGGACCAGTAAAAATGAAAATTTTGCTTCCTACCTAACTTATTAGATTGATACTTGCAGAGACCCGATAGGAAGACTTTTCTAGAGATTATCTCAGCTTATTCTAGCCTTTCATTTCAGAAACTACATCAGGCAGCTTGCTTGATCCAAGCCTATTGGAAGGGTTTCCAAACTAGAAAGAGATTAAAGAAGCTTCCTTCTGCGGTGATTACTTTGCAGAGGCGTTTCAGGTAAAAAAAAAGTGATGAGAAGAGCAGTTGCTTTAGAGTGTGTAGCTCGATATGTATTAAGAATATAGCTAAGTAAAACTTATTGTTTTGTTTGTTTTGTTCTGTTTCCTGCTGTTTCTTTTCCTCTTGCTTTCATAGTTCTACTATACATTTTGAGTACTAGCCTTCAGTAACCCAGTTTACTTTCAAAGCAAAGGACAATGTAAGACAGAAAACTGGTGGGTCAATAATACAATTCTAGCTATTTAATAATTTTCTGGGCCAACCAAAGGAAGGGTCAGGGTCACAGTCACGGTCCTCCTGTTGTTTATCAATTTGCTCGAGTGGGCCCAGTAATGTCTCCATCATGAGACTTGTTGTTACTGTGTTTGGCATATCGAATACCTCATGGGTAGCTTGCCAGGCTCTGCCGTGTGGGCAAGATACTCCCGGTAGCTTGCCGAGCTCTTCGAGAGGGGCGGAGGAATCAAACTCGGGTCGGCCATGTTGGCCGCTTGTAAGGCAAATGCCCTACCGCTGGTGATAATTATTTTATTAAACTCTCAAAGCCAAAAGTTTCCATGACTGTTCTTGTATGATTATGACCACATGTGATTATGAAAAAAAGAAGTATAAGAACATAAAGGTTTAAATACTTTTACCTGATATTCTTCAGGAATTATGACATGAATGAATATGGTCATTGAGATACAGCATAGTTTTTTCATTTATCTCAACTGCAAGTAAACTGAAAAAATACTAAGGACATGATTCAGATTTTTTGTTTGTTTCTTTGGGGGCCACATCCAGCAGTGTTCAGGGGTTACTCCTGGTGCTGCACTCAGAAATTACTCCTGCAGTGCTTGGAACGATGTCAGGGATCAAACCAGGGGGAGCCATATACAAGACAACCACTGTTCTATTGCCGCAGCCCAGATATGATCCAGTTTTTAATAAGACTAACACATCCATGTTCTTAAAGTGAAGGGAGAAAGCATACACTCATGGGTGAGGCTTGGCCCAAGCGTAGCCTCAGCCCATAAGTGGATCCCCAGAAAACCCAGGTATGTGGGACTTTAGACTGAGAACTCTGGGTTTAACAGGACGAGGAATGGAGATCCTAAACCCTTATCCCCCTATTTCTGGCAACTTAACAATCATAACCATAAGCCACCTCTGGCTGGTGCCAAATAATCTCGTCATTGGCCACTGTTCAGAGTTGCATGTCCTCTCCTAGAAAGGATCATAACATGACACTTGCCATAACCATGGTTCCAGACCCTACGCCAGGCTGTTTCATTTGGTGTGCCCCAGAGGGGAGTGTGTGAGACCCCTCCCTGTCCCAAGGGACCCAACCCCGGCAGCCGAAAACCTCCAGAACTGAACTGCCGCCATGATCACAGCTGCTCTCCACATGCTTAGGCTGAGCCTCACCCATGAGTGAACATATTTGTGGACAGCATGGTTACAATACTTCATTCCACACATCCTACCCATGCTCCAAGAGCACCACACCACATTTGATGGGGGTCAAAGTAGGAGGCATCCAACCTTAGAGGGAATTTCTTTTTACAGATGTTTATGTAAGCACACAAGGCTCAACCTTTAACAACATGTTAGTGATCTCTTATAGAAGGGCGTAATTGCCCCTGGGTGAAATACAACAATTTTTACACTCTTTCCTCTAAGGAAACTTTTTTGTAGCATTTTCAGTGGTTTTTCATAACAAACAATACAATATATATTATTTTGGTTCTGCTTTGGGCTTGGGATTCGGAATGGAAATATCTGAAATATGGTGGTGGGAAGGGGTGATGATGATGGAGTTGATGTTTGAACATTAAATGTAATCAAATTGTGACCTACTTTATAAAATAAAAACATTTTTAAAAAAGAAAGAAAGGAAAAGTATACATATGCAGTTCACACCTCAGTTTTTGCCAGGGACTGGCCCCAGGTGAACAAGTTTGAAGCAGGGATACTGTGAAAAATTAAGAAACGCAGAAATATGGAATAAAAGCAAGGGTCGGTGGCTAACAACCTCATAGACTGAGAGCCTCAACTTTCTTCTAAGTACACTATTTCTTGCTTAGAACCAGTAATCATCAGGAGAAAAACATCGTTCTTTTGCCAAATGCCTGTCTTAATCTATAGAGTTCAGATATATAAGGTCCCATTATGCTTAGTACATATTAGATCTATTTCTTATTACATGTTACATATATTAGTTCTTTGGAACAAACATCTTTGTCATGGAAGAATCTCAGAGGAGATTCTTCTGGTAGAAAGAGCAGAGATATAGCAGTTATAAGACCCATTCCTCCTTAGGCATTAGTTTCTGGGTTGAAATACACCGTAAGCCACCCATCCTACCTTTCTCCTTTATCTGTGTTAACCTGTAATTCTAAACAGTTATGATAAATGGCGATAATTTTTTGTACAGCCTAACTTGAAACTAAACTTTAGTTCACTAAAATGAAACTTGACATATTCTAGCTGCCCATAATTTTGTAAAGAAAACTGAAACTATCAACAACTGCAGCTGTGCTTTTCAGTTATAAAAATGTTTGAAATAGTGAACTTTGTGTTTGCATATTCTTATATTGACTCTGATTTGAATGGATTACTGATAGATAGTGATACATAGATGTCTCTTAGTAAACATCTTATACATTGTTGAAAGTTTCCTTCATGAAAAACTTTAAGAGAGACATTAATACTTTTATTAAAATATTCAACTTTATTTTTTTGCCTTAGTCCAAGACACTTGTCATTATTTGTTTTAAATTCATTATCTTCATAGTCTTACAGAAGTGTAGAATGTAACTCCCACAAAGTATGCCATAAGTGCCACAGTAAAAGCAGTTTCAGACCAGTAGCTATGGAAAAATAGTTACTGATATACTGGGCTGAGTACTGATGGCAGCAAAAAATTAAAAAACAGCATTAATTTTTATACATGTACCAAGTACCAGAGGCTGTGTTAGATAATGAGAGTAAACGGTGAACTGAAAACAAATTGCTCCACTTCTCTATTTCAAATTTCCATCTATGAAATATTCTCTGTACCTCACAAAATTAAAATAACTTTTATTTCCAAGCATATTACCTGACACTTAGTAATAGGGTAAAAAAAATGCATGTGACACTTTATTTGTTTGAAGATTTACAGATGACAAACCTATTATATACCTAATAATCATGAGATACAAGAATAATTCTTTTCCAGCATTGCTCAGTTTATTCTTCTCTTGCAAGATTTTTTTTCAAAACAGTTCTTTGATGTAAATTTGGGAAATGATGACTACTTTGATTGAATGCTTTGGGAATCTTCTGTTCAAAAGTGATATTTTCTTGGTATAGTTTGCTTTCTTCTGTGTTATATTTAGTGTTATTTATGGACTCTAAGACAACAGATGAGATTGATCTTGTCTGTTGTCTTACTTAAAGGTACCCCTGTGTACCAAAGGTTCAGATCTTCATTGTTTGGCACAATAGTTGCCAGACTTACCAGTTTACATTTTCTTGCAGTATTAAATGCTTTGGAGTATCCGAGGATTACATGTTTTCACTTCCAAAGTATATTTATGAAATATTATTCATATTCTCCTGCTTTAAAATAGAAATTTCATTGTTTTTTTGTAACAAAAAGAGACAAATTGCAAACATTTCTATTAAAAGAGAGAAGCTTAGAGGCTGGAGGGGAGAGATAGTATAGCCAGGAGGGAGCTTGCCTTGCATCCAATCCCTGGCACCCCATATGGTCCACTGAGCATCGCCAGGAGTGATTCCTGAGTGCAAAACTAGGAGTAACCTCTGAGTATCACCAGGTGTATCTCCAAAATCCAAACCCCTTCCTACCCTACGCTCACCTCCCCAAAAGATAGAAACTTTACTGGGAAAATACTTAAATGAACTTGAATACATCTTTTGCATATGGGAGTCAGAGGCTCATTGCCCAGCACCACACGGTCCCCCAGGCAAGGCAGTGAGTGACTCCCAAGGCCCAAGCAAGTAATAGTCTCCATAACATTAGGTGTACCTATGTCCAACCCCCAAAATATAAAAATAATAATAATCCCTAAAAGAGATAAGGTATGAAATTAAAATTATTTCATTATAATTAGTTTCCATTATTTTTATTTCGCTCTTATAAAACACTCATGTGTAATTTATCCTTTAGGTTCTCTTTAACTTTTTAATTTCAAGTTAGTTACGGTCTTCAGCACTTTTTCACATCTGTTAGTTGTAGCAATTCATGCAAATTTTTCTTGCTTCTCATGGGGAAGGACTATTTCTGTCTTTTTGTGGTCAGACCCTCCTCCAGTGCTTTTTGTTGTTGGTTTGTTTTTTGGAGGTTTTTTTTGTTTTGTTTTGTTTTTGTGAGAGAGTTCCCTTTTTTTGTTTTTGTGAGGATTTTTTTGTTGGGGAGAGACTGCCCACCATTCAACATTTGTTGGTCTATGTTTCTCAGGGCTTTTTAGATCCAGCAAGAGGTACTCTTCAGGCTCTTTCCAAATCACCTTCTTGAGGTTTCCTTTCCATAGAATCACTTTCATGGTCAGAAGTGTTATTTTATATTAGGTAGGGGTTTTTTTTACAGCCAGGTTTCCTAACTACTACTCTAGTTTTTTGAAAACTACAATTTGCTTATCTCTGTCATGGTGCTGATATATGTGTTTTAATTTATTTTATTTATTTATTTATTTTATTTATTTATTTTATTTTATTTTATTTATTCCAGATATAAAACCTGAGTCTCCCACATGCAAAGCATATGCAGTGGCTCTTTTGAACTGTGGAGGCAGTTCCTAATCTTTTTTCCTCTGCTAATCTATTTTTTAAGTGATTATAGAAACTCATATTCAGAAATCAACTAAGATGTTACTAGAGGGAAAATAAAATCTATAATCACATTAATTATTAATAAGTGTTTTTAACACAGTACCCAAAAGAAGAAAGAGAGAACAAGGGGGAATGCCCTGCCACAGAGGCAGGGTGGGACGGGGGGCATGGGGGTGGGAGGGATGCTGGGACCCGTGGTGATGGAGGATGGGCTCTAGTGGAGGGATGGGCACTTGATCATTGTATAACTGAAACCCAAGCACAGAAATTTATAAGTCTAAAACTGTACCTCATGGTGTTTCACTAATAAAAAATACATATATTCTACAAAAAAGTGTTTTTAAATATGAAATTAAGCCATATAAATCCAGACACATATGTGCGCTAATAGTTATGATTTCAATCACTTAAGGTTTTCAAGTTCTGAAGTTGAATTCATTTTTTTTTGAATCACCGTGAGATAGTTACAAAGCTTTACGAGTTTCAGTCATACAATGATCAAACACGCATCCCTCCACCAGTGCACATTTTCCACCACCTGTGTCCCTTGTATCCCCCCTCCCAACCCAACCGTCCCCCTGCCTCTATGGCAGACAGTTTGCCCATGTTCTCTCTATACTTTTGGGCATTATGATTTGCAGTACAGATACCAAGACGCTGTCACTTTTGGTTCTTCATTTACTTTCAACATATATCTCCCATCCCAAACGATCTCTCCAACCATCATTGACTTAGTGATCCCTTTTTGATTCAGTTTTACCATATTTCTTAGCCTATATGGCTAGACTGCCTAAACTGAGTTTTTTGAGATACTAAATATCCTAGCAGTGCAATTTTTGTGATCTTTCTAATACTATTTTTAATTTACTATTTTAAATTTTTTAATTCCTTGGTATTTAATTATTAATTAATTTTAATTAATTGTTTGATTTTTACTGTTTTTAATTTTAATGATGTTTCTAATAATAAAGACACTCATAGTGTGATATAACATAATAAGTTAGAAGATAGAAAAAGGGTTGTTTGTTGTTGTTTTGTTTATAATGTTTCTAAAAGGAGAATCTATTAGTGCCTCTTCTCCTTTACCCTCCTTAAGTAGGTTAAGTAGTATCCTCCTTTTCTACAAGCTCTGTCGCCTAGAAGTTTTGGAGGATAAGTTCTATAGGAGGTGCCAGTCAACATAACTCTTCCGTGGGAGGGGAAAAGGCCTTTACTTGATCGCCAGCTCTGAAGGGAAAATAAAAAGCACTTAGTAACTTATTCTGTGTCCTCTCTAGAACCTATTTCTTTTAGGGTACATGCACTTGAGGTTTTCTTTCCTTTTTTACTAGGATTTAAAAAGCCAACAGGTACATTAAAAAAATGTTCATTTTTACCAGTTATCAGGGAAACAAAAATGACCTCATAACAGTGAGAATTGCCTGTATCAAAAATAGACCAGAAACAACAAATGCTAGTAGTGATATGAAGGAAAATAATTTCCTCCACTGTCAGAGTACAAGTAAACTGGTTCAACCTTATTGAGAACAGTATAAAAATTTTCAAATAATTTTAAAACAAAACTCACATGTGCCAAAGAGATAGTACAGCCATCAAGGCCTTGTCTTGCATGTGGCTGACCCAGGTCCAATCCCCAGCATCACAAGGAGTGATCCCTGAGCACAGAGCCAGGCTTACGCCCTGAGCAAAATTAGGTGTGGCCCAGAAACAAACAAAAAAATAAAAATAGAACTTATATATGAGTCAGCATTTCTATACCTATATCTGTCTCAATACTAACTCAGGTATGTGCACACCTGTGTTTATTGCAGCATTCTTTATAATAGCCAAGAATTGGTTTGATTTTTTTGGAGGGGTGGGGCTGCTGGGGCCACACCTGGCTGTGCTCAGAACTTACTCCTGGCTCTGTGCTCAGGGATCACTCTGGGTAGGAACCATACCCATTGTATTTTCTCTCCAGCCCTATTAGCCAATATCTGGAAACAGTCTGAGCACCCAAAATTTACATGACTAGATAAAGAAGTTGAGGGGTGTGTGTGTGTATATACATGCAATACAAATTATATTTATAGGGATAAAATGCATTCAGTTGTCTTCTCCTGTTCTCTTTGGTTTCATTTTCTATAACTGAAAACTTTTGTGTTTATCCACTATGGACAAATATTAGTTTAGTTTATATTTTTATAAGGGCTAGAGCGATAGCACAGTGGGTAGGGCATTTGCCTTGCAAGCGGCCAACATGGCTGACCCAAGTTCGATTCCTCAGCCCCTCTCGGAGAGCCTGGCAAGCTACCGATAGTATCTCATCCTCACAACAAAATCTGGCAAGCTGCTCATGACGTATTCGATGTGCTAAACACAGTAACAATTGTCACAATCGAGCAAATCGATGAACAGTGAGAGGACAGTGACAGTGACAGTGATATTTTTATAAATTAATTTTTACTGTTAATTTACAAGATTATGGAATATCACTGGCTTAACTTCATTTCTCTATATATTTTCCTTGACGTTATTTAGATATAATTCCCATGTTATAAAATATTCTTTGAGACTTTTTTCATTATGAGTTTATAGAATTCCATTCAGTGAATAAACAAATATTTATTCAAATTCTGATTGTGGCAAATACAGTGTGTTTTCAACTTTTTACTGTTGTTATGGAGTAAATACATTCTTGAACATAAATCTTTTTTATACATATCAAGTTGTGGCCTTAACAAATTCATTAGATATGGAATTAGTTAACATTTCTACAGACTTTAGGTGCATATATCCAGATATTTTTCTAAGATGGTAATATGCAGAACAACTAGAAAGCTTAATTCATAGTTTTATGTGTCTGTATTTATATTACAACTAGTGAGGTTAAGCATTATTTTCATAAATTTTTGAGTGGTCATATGATTTATGAAAATGAATGTAAGGCCTGTAATGTTTCCATCACAGATTTAAACGAACAAAGATGTTACTGAAATTAAATAGACAGAAGGAAGAAGAAGATCGCAGATTACAATTGCATCTTCAAAAGCAGAGAGCCATGAGAATTTCTCGAGAATTGCGTTTGAGTATGCTCGAAATAGTTCATCCAGGTAGGTGGCAATGTCCACTTAATAAGTAAATGAATGTTTAGTGTGTATTTTGTTCGAATTTCCTACCTATTTGATTATTATTTCTAATTTTGACCTTTTCCGAGTTTCTGCTTTTACAGACAAGCCTTTTTAAATCTCTTGACTCAAAAAAATGTTATGTGTTTTTTTTTACATGTTTTAAGGTCTACTGATGATGACAATATTTCAACTAATTTTTCTATTTATTGCTTTCAAATAAATTAGTAAATAATGAAAATGTAGGCTTACAGATAGCTATCAGAGACATAAAAAAGAAAAAAGAACACTCCTTGAAATTAAAGACTTGAAATATTGCTAGATCCTCCATGAGAAGGATTTTTTCAGACCCCAGTACAAACTTGTCACTTTTTGATACCTTTTATACACTAAACTAATGCTGGAGGCTAGAGAGTTAGGCTAGGGATTAAGATGCCTGCCTTGCACAGACACCCTGGCAGTGCCTAGTGTCCCCTTAGTATCACTGCCATGAGTAAGCCTTGAACACTTTCAGATGTGGCCCCAAACCAAAAAATGTATTTTTAAAAACTGATATTAGTATATTAAAAATATATTATTAAATTAGTTTATTAAAATATAACTATTTCTATTAGAAGTATATTTATATTAATATACATAAAATATTATATATAATATTTATGCAGGTTTTCTATAAACTGATTAATATTAATAATATGATCTGGGAAATGCAAATGGTTTTATGGGTTTTTTTACTCCCCCTTCCATTTCCCATTATCTTCCACTATATTTTTTTTAATCTTCCTTTTTCTCACATATAGATGTTTCCATCCTAACCCCTATTATTCTCATCTCATAGTCACTTTCTTGACTACCATCCATAACTATAGCTTCAACTACTTACAGAATAGGTTAGTACTTTCAAATCTTGCTTGCATCCTAACCTTTTTCCTAATCACAACACTAGTATTGCTTAGTAGAACTTTCTATGCAATGAAATGTTCCATATTTTCACTATGTAATATGGTTGCCACTGACAAAAAGCTATTGTGTACTTAAAATATGGCTAGTACACACATAAGGCCAGAATTTTTTTTTCAGTTTAGGCATTTTTGGTTATTGTTGAACAGCACAGCTCTGTATTCAACTGCCTTTTGGTTAGTGTTATTCAGCTATTCATAAACATCTCCCAAATCAGTCATTGTCTTCCCCTATAATCTCAAGTCCCTCTATGCCCCATGTAGTTAGTTACTGACCTACAGTCTACCAACTATTTCCCCTTTAATGATACACCTTCCCATTGCCCACCTCCACCAACTCCCAGCAAGTAAACATTGTCATCTGTAGAATTGACAACTGACACCAAAAAATTGAAAGCACACAGATAACACACGTTTTGTGTTGTTGTTATTAATTTTTCTGTTTTATGGGATCACACCTCACTGTATTCAGGCCTTACTCCTGGCTCAGCGCTCAAGTGCTTGGAGGACCACTTGTGGTGTCATCGAAACTAGATTTATTACATTCAAGGCAAGTGCTTTACCCACTACACTCTTTCCAGCCCCCAAACACGTTTATCCATTCACTCTGGTGCTTCCGAGTAACTTCCAAATCATCTGTTTGTAACTATCGTTTCTTTTCAGATCACATAAATTTTTTATCAATCATGTTTTTGATTCTTTTTTCTAAATTCCCTTGCTATCAGATATCTAGCCCTTACTGTTCTATTACAAAAAAGAAAAAAAATTATATGAGACTTTAAATTGCATTATCTGAGAAAGATTTTGGAGCTTTATTTTGAAACCTAAGAATCATTGTTGAAATAATGGAAATAGTTATTGAAAAAAAAAAATTAAAAGATTGACCTGAATCCAGAACTTGAGGAAGATGTTTATTAAATATGTTTTAATATGTTTTAATAGTGTCTATTACCTTTTTAGGTCAGGTGGAAAAACATAATCGGGAAATAGAAGAAAAATCAGCATTGATTATCCAGAAACATTGGCGGGGCTACAGAGAAAGGAAAAATTTTCATCAACAGAAGCAATCTCTCATGGAGTATAAAGCAGCTGTCACACTTCAGAGAGCAGTTGAGTGACAAAAAGAATACAGAGCTAGAAGGCAAAACATGAGTTCACACATGACTTTGCTAGTTACCTGCTGTAGATTACTGATTAATCCACCTTGTTTTTCTGTCTTAGTTTCTTCTCCAAAATAAGAAATTCCTAGCCACTGCCCCAAACTGATTTAGGTATTCCATAGACACTTTGTATCATTTATCATATTACAGTGGGTTTTTTTTTTTTTTGGTTTAGGATCAGAGAGATAGTGCAGTGTGTACGGCATTTGCCATACCCACAGCTCACCTAGGTTCAATCCCCAGCACTGTCTATGGTCCCCTGAGCATGACCAGAAGTGATACCTAAACAAAGAGCCAAGAGTAAGCCCCGAATATAGCCAGTGTGACCCAAAAATCAAAAAGTAATAGTCTTTCTTCTTTATTTGGCTAGGAATTCCTCAAGGATAAGAAACGAAGTCTTAATTGTTACCAACTCTGACATGTGCATTATAAACAAATGTATGTCCTTCCTTTTTTGCTATATTATGTGAATTGAAAGACCTAATTCATGGAGTAGTATTGTGTAAATTACAAGGGTCAGTGCAAGTTCAGCTTAAATGAGCAGTCTGGTTGGGGAGAGTAGACAGACTCTTGCCTTGCACACAAGTCAATCTAAATTCAATCCCTGACACCCATTATTGTTCCCCAGGCATCTCTAGGAGTGATCCCTGAGCATAGAGCCAGGAGTGAGTACCATCAGGTGTGACCCCAAAATATAATAGTAATAATAATAATAATAGTGGCAACCCCCAGGTACTGCTCAGGAACACCTGGAGCCATTCAAAGTTAGGCTTTGCTTGAGACCTCTGAGGCTAGGGACCAGTGTTACAGTTTCACTGTGTTTATACTTATAAAGAAGTTCTTTAATTTGATGGAGAGGAGAGGAGAGTACCGTCTTTACTTATCTACTTTCTTGCCATAATTCCCGGCTTTTTCAAACTATAGAATGCTGCAGGATTTTTTCTCTTGCTTTCTCATCTCTTAAGAAGCTCAGATGGAAAGTGATGGTTGCTCTTATCTTCTAGAGCAGCATTTCTCAAGAATATTCCTTGGATTTATTCCAAGGATATTCCTATAGAATATTTCAAAGAATCTACCCTTGAAAATTGTGTGAAAGACCAGGGCATGAGACAAGGAGGCCCACACTATGAGAGGGAGGACACAGGAAGCTCTTCCTGGCTCTTTGCTCAAGGGTCATTCTTAGTGTTGATGGGGTGGGCAGTGTCGGGTGAAACTGGGGTCTGTCGCATGTAAGGAAAGCACTTTACCCCTTGCACTTTCCTCTTTGTCCCTGAAAAACAATTTTAGCTTAGACCATACAGAAATGGGCAGCAGACTGGATTTAGCCTCTGGAGCATAATTTTCAAGTCCTTTCCTGAAATTAATATTGATCAAAATAAAAACTACAGATAAGGGAGGAGAGCAAAGGGGTGGAGAGAAAACTGGGTAAGATAAATTTTCTGTCAAAATCTTGCTTGTTTTCTTGAGTTATCCCAAGGTTTGTTTCATCTAGAGTTAAGTGCTTAAGAGTTTAAGGAGGAAGATTCAGTGTTTTTTTGTCAGCAGTTCCATTATAATTTTACATTTTCTTATTTTTTTCCTGTATACTATCTCTTCAGTATTCATAATTCTATAGGCTAAGTACAGCTGGTGTCTCTTTTTCATAGACATAAAACCTTTCATTATAAAAATTAGGTCACTCCCATGGAATCCTATAGCTTATAAAGAATTGAGACTTTAAAACCAATGTCTATTTCCTCTTTATTGGTTGCTCTTCAAATAGTACATGAAGAGTACTGTTTGTATGCTTATAAGACATTAAAGCACTCGAGAAGAATATATTTTCAAAGTTATTATCTTCTCTCTCCATCACAGTTGTATTACTCTCTTCTTGTACACTCATTTAAGAATTACTGCAGTGTAATCACTACTATATGTTATTGGAAGAAAGCAATTCTATTAATTAGGGAAGAAAAATTAGACACCATCTGTTTGCTTTTTTTCCCCCAGGCTCTTAAATTCCTAGCAAAGTGTCATCAGAAAAAGAAACTGTTTGCTCTTTGGCAAGGACTAACAGAACTCACCGATGCACGAAGAGTTGAATTGAAGCAACAAGTGGATGACTATATCAAAAGGCATTCAGTATGTAGATGTTTTTTGTCATTATTCAAGTGCTTAATATTCACCAGCAAATCAGTGTCTCATTTGTATATGTGTGTGTGATACTGGTATAAGGTAAAACACTTGCTTTACTGTAAAGTTAATGGCTTTGGAGTCATCTTTTAATTATTTACATGAGTATAAGTAATAAGGAAAAGGACTTTGCTTTATATTACTTTTTTCCATAGTGTATCAGCAAGACATGCTACATGAAACTTACTATTTTGAATCTTTCATAAATAGTATATGTAGCTTCCGGCCAATAATTATCATTATATATCTATACTTAAATGTATAATATATATGAAAACTGAAATCCACTAAGTTGTTAATGAAATTCAGGAGCTAATAATATAAAACACTTAACTTTCCGCCTTACAACTTGATTATTGAAATGAACTTACACAGAACTGTTGATATCTTTTAATTTTTATCACCACAACGTTGTAGATCATTGTTCTTTGCATTTATTTCCCTTGTAAAGTACTTAACCTTGTACCTTTTATTTTCAAAGTTTAGTAATCTTTTAAGACAATTTTTCTTTGCAGAAAGTCACTCCTTTCAGAGTGACTCTCATCTCAGTTTTATAAGCTGTATATCTGCTCATCATTAATGTTTCTCCTGTATATCTCTGTTCTCTAATATTCTGGGAAAAATCGGTATTTTATGTTTCAGCCCATCAGAATTACTGTTCTCCTCATTTGAACCAACCAACCATATTATTTTTTACTTTTCATATTTGTCTTACTTAAGTTGTTTTTGTCTTGGTTTATTTTGTCATTCTCTCTTTTCTTCTCTAGCTCATTTAACTATGCAGAATTTTATTTTTTTTAATGTAGCAGTATTGCTATTTATTCAGTGAATGATTATTAGGCTGATTGAATTTGGCATGAACTCCACCTTAATTTTTTTTTCCTTTTTTATAATTTTATTAATTAAATCACCATGAAAAGAGTTACAAAGCTTTCGGGTTTAAGTTTTGGTCATACAGTGAAACACACCAGTGCCCATTTTCCACCACCAAAAACCCCAGTATACCCCCCATCCCGCCTACCTGTGGGGCAGATGATTTCCACATTACTCTTTCTCTACTTTGATTACATTCAATATTTTGACATCAGACCCACATTATTTGAGATTTTACCCAAACACTCAGATCTGCTGAAAAAAAAAAAAACAGTAGACAATTTGTTTTCTGTTGCTGGTTATGAATAACAGCTGGTTATGAATATGCAGTCGTGGCCATGCAATTTGGGAATTCCAAAATTTTAACAATTAAATCTGGAGGGATTTTTGCCAAAACCTTTTGGGTTCCAAGATTTGTTCCTGAATTCTTGGATCTTGGTTGTTAAGCAGCTTGATCAGGAGTCAGAGAGGCCATTTGTGGGCAGCGACTCAGGGTCTCATTGGGGCGGAGATGATGGGGCTGGCTCCACCCCCATCCCGTGAGGCTTCGTGTGTCTCATCTCTGTAAGCCCAAACCTGACTATCCAGTGGCCTCTGGAAGATGGCGGCCACTGGCTGCCAAGGAGGAGCAGGCGGAGGGACAGCTCCCTTTTCCACCAGGGGTGGCCCAGCAACAGTAACCTACTGCAGGATCCACACATTCCTGCCAAAAGCCACTGGGTTTCGAGATTTGTTTCTGAGTCTCTGGGACCATAGCTGTTAAGCAGCTTCATCAGGAGCCAGAGAGGCCGTTCGTGGGTGGCGACTCGGAGGTCTCATTGGGGCTGGAAGGAAAGGGCTGGCTCCACCCCCATCCCATGTGGCCCTGTGTGTCTAATCACTACGGTCTCAAACCTGATCATCCAACGGCCTCTGGAGGATAGCAGCCACCAAGCTGCCAGGGGGAACAGGCCAAGGCACGAAACCTATTCCACCTGGGGTGGCCTGGCATCAATAACCTACTGCAGGGACCGAATACATTTCTGCCAAAAGCCGCTGGGTTCCAAGATTTGTTTCTGAGTCTCTGGGATCATGGTCATTAAACAGCTTGATCAGGAGCCAGAGAGGCTGTTCAGGGCGACGACTCAGGGTCTTGTTGGGGTGGGGAGGAAAGGGCCGGCTCCACCCCCATCCCATGAGGCTCTGTGTGTCTCATCACTGTGGGCTCAAACCTGACTGTCCAATGGCCTCTGGAGGATGGCAGCCACCAAGCCGCCAAGGGGGAGCAGGAAAAGGAACAGCACCCTTTTCCCCCTGGGGTGGCCCGGCACCTGTAACCTACTCAGGGACCCGACACATTTCTGCCAAAACCTGCTAGCTTCCAAGATTTGTTTCAGAGTCTCTGGGACCATGGCCATTAAGCAGCTTGATCAGGAGCCAGAAGGCCGTTTGTGGGCGGCAACTTGGAGGTCTCATTGGGGTGGGGAGGAAAGGGCCAGCTCCACCCCCATCCCGTGAGGTCCCATGTATCTCGTCACTGTGGTCCCAAATCTGACTGTTCAGTGGTCTCTGGAAGGTGGCAGCCACTGAGCCACCAAGGAGAGAGCAGGTGGAGGGATAACACCCTTTCCCCCCTGGGGTGGTCCGGCACCAGTAACCCATTGCAGGGACCCAATGCATTTCTCCCAAAAGCCGCCGAGTTCTGAGATTTGTCTCTGAGTCTCTGGGATCATGGCCATTAAGCAGTTCGATCAGAAACCAGAGAGGTCTTGCTTCTAATTACATAGCTGAGCCTGAGGTGGTTTGTGGGTGTGTCTCCCACATTCCTAACTTTTGGCCATTTACTTTCTTGGTAAACTTTGCCCCAACTTGTTGGGGTCTGGCCAAAGGCACAGCAGCAATTTTGGGGTATCTGAAAGTCTGAAGGCGCCATCAGGCTGCTGATGCTCTCACCTCACAGGTACATATTGACCTGCTGGCGGCACCATACCCCCAAATATACAGAATTTTAAAGCATGCAAATTCTAGGTGGCTAATATTTAAAATTTGATGTGATATTTAGGTAATCATATCATTCACCTTTTCATTCTTCCAGAACTCCTGAAATACAGAAATTAATGCAAAAACAAAATTATAAATGGAAATCAGAATAATTATTCATGGTAGCAGAACATGTATCTGTTAAAACACTTAAACAGAGCATTGTAGGAAATATGGTGCCACCAGCAGGTCAATCTGTACCTGTGAAATGAATGCATCAGCAGCCTGATGGCGCCTTCAGACTTCCAGATACCCCAAAATTGCTGCTGTGCCTTTGGCCAGACCCCAAAAACTTGGGTCAAAGTTCACCAAGAAAGTAAAGTTACGTAAGTGGGAGACACACCCACAAACCACCTTCAGCTCAGCTATATAATTGGAGGCATGGCCTCTCTGGTTTCTGATCAAACTGCTTAACGGCTATGATCCCAGAGACTCAGAAACAAATCTCGAAACCCAACGGCTTTTGGCAAAAATGCGTCCAGTCCCTGCAGTAGGTTACAGGCGCTGGGCCACCCCAGGTGGGAATAGGTTTCGAGCTTTAGCCTGTTCCTTAGCCTGTTCCCACATGGCTGCCATCCTCCAGAGGTCCTGGACAGTCAGGTTAGGGCCCACAGTGACAAGATATGTGGGGCCTCATGGGATGGGGGTGGAGCCGGCCCTTTTCTCCGCATCCCAACAAAACCCGAAGTCGCTGCCCACGAATGGCCTCTCTGGCTCCTGATCAAGCTGTTTAATGGCCTTGACCCCAGAGACTCAGAAACAAATCTCGAAACCCAGCAGCTTTTGGCAGAAATGCGTCCAGACCCATCAGTAGGTTACAGTCACCAGACCACCCCAGGGGGGAAAGGGTACTGTTCCTCCACCTGCTCCCCCTTGGTGGCCTGGTGACCACCTTCTGCCAGAGGCCATTGGACAGTCATCTTCGGGCCCGCAGTGACGAGACTTGCAGAGACCCACTAGATGGGTGTGGATAAGGCTCTTGCGTTCCACTGGGTTCCATAGGTGGTAGACCTGGGTTTGATTCCTGATACCCCATATGGTCCCCCAAAGTCCACCAGGAGTGATTCTTGAGCACAGAACCAGAAGTAAGCCCTGGCCACCACTGGATATGGCCAAAAAACAAAAAAACTATTTTAAAAGACAGCTGAAATTATAGTTACAAATCCTCATAGGGAATGCCAGAGAGATGGTACAGCAGGTAGCATATTTGTCTTGCATCCAGCTGGCCCTAGTCCAGTTTTCAGCACTGCATGTGATCCTCCAAGCCCCACCAGGAGTAATCCCTGACAGCTGAACTAGGAGTAAGCCCTGAACACAACTAGATATGACTCAAAAAAAATTTTTTTAATTTATAATCCCCATAGGTAAAACTTGAGGTCTAAATTGCTCTGAACTTGGGGATTAAAGAAGAAAAGAAGTCCCTAAAATTGAAGAGAAGGAAATACTTTTCAGCTCATTTAATAAGACCAGCATTTCTCTGACACCAAAGCCAGAAATATTTCAAGCAAAGAATCAGGGAAAAATTCCTCATGAACTTAATGTGGAAAAATTTAAAGAAAAAATTTTAATTCAGCTCAATTAATATATTAAAGGATTAGTATATCACCAATCTGTCTCAGGAAAGCAAAGTAGTAAGGAAAAAAATTTCGCAAAGTACATCTAGTCCCAATGCCCCACCACCCAAAACACCAGCAAACTAGAAATAAAAAATTTCCTCTATTTGATAAAAGATAGCTGACACCATACTTAATGGCAAAAGACAAAGTTTCTGAAATTAGGAAAAAGACAGGGATGTCATTCCAAACAATCACATTTCCATAAAATGTTTTTGGTAGAAATCAATAAGCTGATTCAATAATTGATGTGGAAATGTGAGAGATCTCAGATAGCTAATATGACAGCAAAAGAAATTGAAGGCTAACAGGATGTGAACTCAGTACCTAATTTCATAGTACTATAAAGTGCAGTTCTCAAAGAAATGGCAGTGATGTATTTAAAAGACCTTTTTAAAAGAATGAAAGTATTGAATTCAAAACTAAATCCATACTATGGACAACTGACAATCGAGCAAATAATGTGTAAAAGAAACTGAACCAAATGAATAACTTTATGAAAAACTAAGTGTGATGACAAACTTTTGAATACTATCTGTATTTGACATTATGTATAAAATGTAACTTGAATCATAGAAATAAGTGCAGTGCAGTTACAGTTATAACTATAAAACATCTAAGAAAAATTTGGCAAATTTCTTGAATAGACATCCAAAAATATGATCCACAAAAGAAAAATCAGTAAGGGCTGGATAACACTTGCCTTGTAAATGGGCAGCCCCATTCCAATCCCCAGCACACATGTGATCACATGACCCCCACTAGAAGTGATTCCTGAATGCAGAGCAGGAGTAAGCCCAGAGCACTGCCAGCTGTGGCCCCACAACAAAGCCAAATTAATACTTTAAATTTCATCAACATTTAAAACTTCTTTGTTTGTGCAAAATATTAGAATTTTTGTTTGGGATTTTTTGTTTGTTTGGGTTTTTTGTTTTGGTACTGAGTGTTGCTCAGGGCTAACTTCTGGCTTTGCATTTAGGATTACTCCTGCCAGGGTTCTGGAACCTTATGTGGTATGGAGGATTGAACCTATACTAGTCACAGGCACCATACACACTATGCTATATCACCAGCCCCCAAAGCATTTCTTTTTACTATATGTGTATTTGTATGGGATTTGGGGACACACCCAACTGTACACAAGGATCATTCTGGTGGGACCCTGGGAACCATATGAGTGCCAGGAGATCAAACCTCAGTTGGCCACATGCAAAGCAGCTGCCCTTCTCTCCAGCCCTGAACAAAATATTTAAATGGAAATTTCACAAAAGAAGATAGAGATGGCAAATAAACGCTTGCAAAGGCACATAATCAGTTGAAAAAAGGAAATGGAAATTAAAAACACAAATCACACCTGTTTAGAATGACTAAAATTGAAAGATTGACCATACCAAAGATTCTTAAGCAAGTAGCGGAACTGTAACTCTCCCATACTCTGTTAATGGAATGTCAGATATTATAACCACTTTGAAAACAGTTTGGTGGTTTCTTAAAACCTAATTGTGCATTTCTCATGAATGAGCTAGTTTGTTCTTACCTATGACAGAAAAAGAAAGTATGTCCATATAAACAAGTGTATATAAATTCTCAGGAAAAAAAAAGCCTACATATGTACCAGCAGCTGAATAATAATAAGTGGATATACCATGTACTAGTCAGCATTACAAAGGAGTGAATTGTTGATACTGCACCATAGACGAATCTCATAGTAATTGTTCTATACAAAAGAAGCCATATGAAGAATATGTACTGCCTCATCACAAAACTAATCTGCAGTAACAGAAAGCAAGTCAGTAGTTGCTTAGGGATTTGAGGTTGGAGAAATTGGTAAGGGAGTTACGAAATGACAAGGAAATTTTTGGTGTAATTATTCTTTGTCTTGATTACAGGGATGGTTTTTACAGTTGGATATCTATCTATGCATGTCAAAGTTCTGAAAATTGCAAACTTTTAATGTTTATAGATTATTTTATGTCACTTTTAATTCAAAGTTTTATATTTTAAAAATTTATATTTAGGAACTGGAGAAATAGTACACTTGCCTTGTACTTAGCTGACCTGTATTCATTCAATCCGCAGCACCCTGTGGTCCCCAGACTTTACCAGATCCCTAAACATAGAGCCAGGATTAAGCCGTGAGCACCTCAGGGCATGACCCAAAAACAAAACAAAAATAGTATTTAACCTGAATCAGGGATTTTCAGTGGCCAGGTCACAAGGGTGAAATGTTGAAAACCAACCAAATAATACCCCCAAAAAAGAAATTTCCTCCTCTACAACACGTAGATCATTGATTCCCAAGAGAACCTTAGTCAACCATGTGCATGGCAAGAGAGATAGTATACTTTAACCCACTGTACAATCTGCCAAACCCCCAACGCCCCTCAGATCCTAGATTTTTTAAATTCTGGTCACCACAATTGAATATGGAGGTTTCAAAAGCTTTGGTAACAGTAGAAACTTTTGGAACCCATGGTGATCAGTTATTATTCAGAATCAAGTACGTAATGAGTCAAAGGCTTTCTATCAGAGATGACCCATGCCACATTTCCAGGACAAAAGTGGGAAAAGTTTAAAGTAAGGCATGGCATGTAGAGGTTCTAGAACCTTTTCTGAATAGTTGGGTGAAACATAATTTGAGAATGTTTCTGTAGTTACTATTTTCTATTCTTTCATCTCAGGGCTCTCAGATGTCAGATATGACCAGCAGAGAGCTCCATTCCCAAGCTCAAGAACGCCTGCAACACTACTTTATGGGCAGAGCCCTAGAAGAAAGAGCCCAGCTTCACAGAAAGGCTCTAATGGTTCAGATCAGCACCAACATTGAACAGTTAATGAGTATGTAAACATTTATTTATTTTCTAAAACTAATAAACATTTCGTTTTTATTTCCTAAAACTTTGTAAAGTTTTGTGACATCCAAAATATTAAGAAGGGTAATAATATTTGATGATCTATTAGTTTGTCTCCTGACCAGAGAATACATCTAGATCATACCAGTACACAGTATTTTAAAGTGATGCAGATCCTGTAACCTCCTCCTTGATTGCTTTCCCCAGCCTTGGTATGATTAACATCTATCAACTCAATATTGTCTGTTTGCTTTTTGGGTCACACCCAGCGATGATCAGCAGCAGTTACTCCTGCTCTGCACTCAGAAATTACTCGTGGCAGAGCTCTGGCGACCATAAGGCATACTGGGAATCAAACCCAGGCCTGTTGCATGCAAGGCAAAGACCCTACACACTGTACTCTGCTCTGGCCCTACAACTCAAAATTATTCATGTTAAAGCTGCTGAACCTGGGGACCAGAGCGATGGTACAGTGGGTAGGCATTTGCCTTGCATGTGGCCGACCCAGGTTTGATCCTCAGAATCCTATATGGTCCCCTCAAGCACTGCCAGAAATAATTGTTTGAGTGCAGAGCCAGGCATAGCCCCTGAGCACCACTGAGTATGACCCAAAAATCCAGAAAGCCAAAAATAAATAATAAAGTTGCTGGACCCTTTTAGCCGATTCTATTATGAATTTTCAAAAGCATATTGTCATATATCATAATTTTTAATAAGGTGCTTTCACAAAAACTAATTTATCTGTTCCTCATTTAATGAGAAACTATCCATGAAGTCAGTGTTTAACTCTACCTTTGAAATATTTTCAGCATATGTGGAGCAGTTTTTTAATACCATTATTTATGAATTTTATATTTTTTAATGGATAGATGACTATAAATTCCTGATGTTTAACAAATATTTCAAAATTAATAAGTTTTTAAAGCAGGGATTGGGAAGAGTTGCCACTAGCTTATAGTTAATCTGTCACTGTCACTGTCCACCCGTTGTTCATCGATTTGCTCGAGCGGGCCCAGTAACGTCTCCATTGGAGACTTTGTTGTTACTGTGTTTGGCATATCGAATACATCACGGGTAGCTTGCTAGGCTCTGCTGTGTGGGCAACATACTCTCGGTAGCTTGCTTTTGAATAATCACATGTCATCACAGCCATAGATTTGAAGTTGGAACTGATATGAGTGGAGATGGCAGGTTCCCAGGTTCTTCAATATTTTCAAGAATGAAAATATTAAATAATAAACATGCTAAAACTCACAGAAAATAGAAAAGTTTACTGGAAAGTAAGTCACAGTGAAAGAAATTTCCTAACAGGGGAGGAACTTAGTTTAGAAATAAGTTAAGTGTGGCTCATTTTGTAGGAATTTTTATAGGGAAACTGGGGTCTTCATGTTAGTTCCAAAGTAAGAGAATATTCCCATTTGTTTCCTAAAGATGTCTTGTTAATTTGGGGTCCATCTGTGTTATTAAGATAAGACTAATACCTTGTATGTACATAGAGTCTTTCAGGTTATTTACTGGACTATAACCCTGGGTATTACCTATTACCTATTGATCTTTTGTGAGTCCAAGAGCTGGGGCAGGATTTGTGGTCTTGAAAAATTGTAAACTACCGACCCAGTCTCATAGAGAGTCCAGGAATGTATAAATTGTAGACTTAAGTTAACTAAAATGATGCCACAAAGTAGCAGTGGGCAAGGGGGAAACCAAGCTTTCTCTCCCAGAACCATGTCTTACCTGCTATTGCAGAGGTCCAACTCTTAGTGTTTAAGTTTCTTTGGTACAAAACTCTTTCACTCACCTGTTTGTTCTCTGTTTACTGCAGAGGCACCTAGTCTGAAAGAGGCCAAAGGGAAAGAGCCTGAACTTTTCCTGAGTCGATCCAGGCCTGTGGCGGCCAAAGCAAAGCAAGCCCATCTCACTGCCTTGAAGCATATACAAGCACCTTGGTGGAAGAAACTTGGAGAAGAAGCAGGAGATGACATCAGCGTCCCAAAAGATGAACTTAGTCTAGAATTAGGATCGTTATTCATTGGTGGAACCAAACCCCCTTAGGCAGTTCCCCAAGAAATGCATTCTACCTCTAACAAACTACTAGACTAGCGCTGCTGTCCTAACTTTTAGTTTTGTAGCTTTTTCTTCGCAAATAAGACTGACTTACTGGCAGTAAGCAGAGTTATTTTCTACCTCTATCTCAATTGTCCTTCTCTTTAATCTGCTTTATATTCCTGGCCTCTGTGACTTTTGGTATGAAATTAATCTCAGCATGGTATTCTGTTGCTAATTTGAAATGTGGTACTTCTTTTGTTGTTTTCCAAAACTAAGTGTTTTCTAAATAAATATTTTTAAGAATTATTCTGAAAACTCTTGTCAGGATTGCTTCAACATTTCACATTTATTATTTTGATTTCTTACTTCTTATTAAGAACGTGTTCTTGGCTTTTATTAATGTAAGAGAAAAATGATCAGTTAAAGAACACACACTGATTTCTGCAAAACATTAAACTCATTTTCTATCTCATTTCTGCGTTTTAAAAAACTCGTCCTAGGATGCAAAGCAAGAAAAAATCCTTCAAATATAAAATCACATTGTTTTATCAAACTACAAGAATTATGTAGTCCTCTGTTTCCCTTTTCTAGGAATCTCACAGTTAAAAAATCTCATAGAATTCTCTTTGCTACCTATATAATTCTGTTTTGTTTTGTGTTTTAAAATATTTTGATGGAGGAGAGGTTTGAATCATACCTAGCTTACTCTGGCTCTGTGCTCACTGATCACTCCTGACTTAGGGGACTTAGAGCTTAGTGGACCATGATGGATGCCAGGAGTTGAAAGAAGGTCAGCCTTGTGCAAGACAAGCACAATCTGTCTTGTTTTGGATCCAAGCTAGTAATGTCTGGTTTTCCTATTGATATTTGTATTTTATGTTTTCTGTTGGGGGGAGTAGGAGAGACCACATCCACCAATGTTCAAGGCTTACTCCTGACTCTGCTCAGGGATCACCTCTGGCAAGGGACCAGATGGATATCTAATCTGGGTCAGCCACATTTTTCTTGAGCTAACCAATCAGTGAATTATCAAGAAAATGAAGCAAACTGAGATGAAAGTCAGTATCTATGAAATGAACTATTTCATCTATCCACTGGAATTAATGGTAACTCCACAAGTTGCAGTCTTCAAAAGAACTGGTCTCATGGGAGTAGGGTTTGACTCACTTGTAGGACCCTTGCCTTGCATATGTGAGATCCTGGATTCTAGCCCTGCCAAAACTGTCCTCATGTTAGATGCCACCTATAATTTCAGATATCTGAGAGGCACCCACCCTCATGACCAACTAAAGACTTGAAGATTGCCATAGTATCATAGATTTGATCATTCACTACAACAACCCACAGAACTTAGGAAAACACTACTTTTTCACTCATTTTGTTTTAAAAGATACGGCCTAATAATTGAAGTCGAGCCTAATAACATTTAGCAAGATTTTAAAGGATCCACCAACCATGAAACTATCATGCTTTGTCTCCTTGCATATATATCACCCTGATATCACTCCAAGATACTCAGAAAGGTCTTGATAAGTATTTTTATTGAATTCATTACATAAGCTTTTTAAATCACTGGCAAAATTATTGAAATCATACGGAGAGGGGCAGGCGGGGGGCGGGAGGCGTAACACTGAAGTGATAGTACAACAGGAAAAGCACTTGCTTTGCATGCAGCCAATTCAGGTTCAATCCCCAACATCCTATATGATAGTCTGAGCCCACCAGGAGTGATTCCAGAGTCCAGACCCAGGAGTAACACATGAGCAGCACTAGGTGTGACTCAAAAACCAAATAAATGTTGAAATCAGGCTCCAGCCCCATTCTATGTCTGCCCCACCTCCTATCAACTTTGATCAATTGATCAGACTGATATTACATGACCAAAAATTTCTCATCACATAGTTGATCCTTCAGCCATGGCTCAGTTCCTTTCTTGAATCATCTCCATGACTCAAGAGTAGTCCAGATACTCCCCTCAAAAAAAGTTAATTCATCACACAAGAAAACCAAAAGCTTTAAAAAACTCAGTTTCTACTGTATAACATAAACCCAGTTATGAACAGCTTTGTAATGAGCTATTTCACAGTGATTCAATTTAAAAAAATTAAAATTAAAAAAATTAAAACTCAGTTTTTATTTAAGACAAGAGCGAGCATTATTATACAACTCCCCAACTAAATGATATATGAAAACATGAGTATCCGCAGCTGGAAATAAGTCTTAAGTTTTAGTGTTAAGACTACTATAGTCTTAGGTCAGAGATATAGTACAGTGTGTAAGGCACTTGCATTGCACTAGGCATCACAATATGTTTCCCTGAGCTCTGCCAGGAATGATTCCTGAGCAAAGTCAGGTGTGGTCCATAAACAAGGACTACAGCAATTCTTATAAATGTGTAGGAAAAAGTGAAAAAAATTGAGACATCCAAAAATGTTAGGAAAAATACATTTCAAAAAGATAAAACTAGGTTTAGAGGTAATCCCAATATGAGAAGCCACACATGAAAAGACTTTAATTGTCTGATATGCTGAAAAATAATGTAAAATGGGTCACAATAGTAGGGCAGGGTGCTTACCTTGCCCTGGCCGACCAGACCTGATCCCTAGCACCTCATATGGTCCCTGACCCCTGTCAGAACTGATCCCTGAAAGCAGAGCCAGTACTAAGCCCAGAGCACCTCCAGATATGACCCCAAACAAGATGATGGAAAGGGGACAGAGAGTTCCAGAGTAAAGGTTAACTCTGGTTCCATCCCTCACATCACATGGTGCCCCCAAGCCCCAATAGGGATGGTCCTGTAGGCCACTGAGTAGCTCCAGGGTCATCCCTAGCACCACGGGTTTCAAACAGCACCACATACTCAAGACTTCACATTGAACTGCTCACCCTATAGGCCAAAAATCACCAGGAGAGGTCCCCGGTCTTTCTTAATACTTCTTAGGAGCCTCTTCCTGCCCCTACCCCCGACCACATACACAAAAGATAATATAAAAATTGACAATATACAGAAAACAATGAGGAATTTCATACAGATAAAACCTATGGAAAAGATCTGTGGAAATGGTTTTTCCCCCAACTTCATTTAAGCACCGTGGTTTACAAAGTTGTTCATGATGAATTGCTACTGGCATTCAATACTCCAACACCACTCCCACTACCACTGTCAGCCTCCTTCCACCATTGTCTTCCACCTAAAACCTGACCTCATAGCAGGTTGACAATCATTTATTTAATACTGCTTGTTATCCCTAAATGACAAACAATGATCAAAAAAAGTTTCCATGAAGGAAAATTTGTGAAAATTTTTGTATCTCACCATGCGGACAGTAAATGCTTATCTAAGGGTTTACTAAGCTGTTGTTGTGAGTTAATGTTTTGTATTATTGCTTTTGTTAGTAGAGATTGCTTGATTTCTACATTACATCCCATCCAGCTCTTACTGTGACGCCAGTGCTGAAGATATTGGAGTGTCACCGTACCACATTTGAGACTACACACTCTAGAAAATCCAGAATTATAACTGGGCAGTTTGACTGAAGTTAAAATTTTAGCTGGACAGCAGCTTTGAGGTGTCATAGTGATTGTCTGGACTTTGGTCAGGAACTGTTCTGCCAGAAACTGAGAAAATTTTGCAGCTAGATGATCTCTTTCAAGATTTCTTTGAGTCAGGCTGGTGAGGCAACAGGTCACATAAAAGACTCTGGAGCAAACTCAATGCCATTTTTGCTATCCAGGTAGAAGGGAACCCCACGCCCAAAGAGGGGAGTGCTGTCCCAACCGCTTGGCACTGCCCAGCCCAGCTAAGGTCCCTGAGAAGAAAGGCCAGGCAGGCTAAGCAATGCGTCACATTAGGGACTGTGTAGCAAACTCAGAAACGCCATTTGTTCTACCCAGGTCAGGGTGCCATTTTGCTACTCACCCACAAAGGCAGCTCCACTTTGCTCCACGGCCACACATTTTTTCAACCTCTCCATAATACACTGTAAACAGTGTAGGTTTATTTACTAAGTTCCTAAACACACAACAATACACAAGAAACAACTCCAAACTACAAAGGTCACAATGGCACAATAATGCAGAAATTCATCAGGCTTAGTGAATGAAGATGCTAGCCCAAATGGCCCAAGCAATATTAATGAACTATATACCTCTCTGATAAGGAATTTAGAATGGAGCTGTTAAGGATGCATAAGGAGCTCAAATAAGCAATGGAATGCACCACAATAAAATGCAAGAGAATATGAAAGCAAAAATGACGAAAATACAAACAAAATACAAGTGAAAATGACAGCTCTGAAAAATCTGGTGGATGAAATGAAAAACTCATTGGAAGGTCTCAGCAGCGGAGTAGCAGCTGCTGAGAACAGAATACAAGATGAGGTGCAGAAAATCTACAGACAATAGCAGAAGATGGAAAAGAGTCTCAAAATAAATCAACAGATGACAGGAGAACACTTGGATGAATTCAACAAGAACAATATAAGAATCACTGGGGTTCCAGGGGTCAGGCAGGAAACCCTGATGAAAAAGTAACTGTCAAAGCCATTATCACTGAGAAATTCTCAGAGCTGACGAGTGCATGCACCCAAATCCAGGAAGCCTGAAGGGTATCAGTTAAAATTAATTCAAATTTAAAAACCCCAAGGCAGATCCTAATAAGAATGATGAAAACCATGGATAGAGAATACTGAAGGCAACAAGATCAAAGAAGGAAATTGATTATGAAGGAGCTTTCTTAAGATTTACAGCAGAATTATGAGATGAAACCCAAAGTCAATGGCAGAGCATGGTAAAAAAAAAAATCAATGTAATTAATGCCTCACCAAAAATACTTTACCCAGCTGAACTCTCCTTTAGATTTGAAGAAATAAAACACACTGTCACAGATATACAACAACTCATATTTTCATAGACTCAAAACAATTGTTAAAAGAAAAACAGGTTACCTTAAGATAAGACCAGTTCCACAAACACATCAAACTCTTGCAGAGAGATGACACAAAACCCCATGACAATAATATCTATTAATGTCAGTGAGCTAAATGCACCAATTAAGGCCCACAGAATGGCAGCATGGATTAGAAAATTGAACCCAACACTCTACTTCCTGCAAGGTACACATTTGAACGGTTAGAGTAAACACAGTCTCAAAGTGAAATGCCGAAAAACAATTCTTTCAGCAAATAACCCCCTGAAAAATGACCAGAGTGGTGATACAAGTATCAGAAGACATAGACTTCAGGCTAAGGAAGGTTATAAGAAACAGTAG